TCGTCCTCGGATAGAAGGTCACCTTGAATGATTATATAACCTTAGTTATGAAGGCTCCTCTTATTTGTACTAAAGTCCCTGGACTTACCCCTATAGATGCTAGGGAAGCGTCGGCGGAAGTAGACCATTGCTGGCAGCTTGGTAACGCCCCATTTCTTGGCATACCGCGAATCGGCCATCTTAACAAATGTAATATCCAGATTATCTGTCTCGCTGTCAATGTTTTCGAGTTTCTCCAGCGCTGCAGTACTGTCCGGCTGATTGTGCTCATCTAATGGATAATTATGGTTATTAAAATAGATTCTTTAAAAAATTAATAATAGTGTTGCACTTACAGAAGAACACGGCTAAGAACTCGTTCTCTTCCAGTAGTTTGTCAAGCATTTTACGGTTAACTTCTTCTATTTCGTTTTTGATTTCGAATACATCTTGTGACGTCAGCCAAGTAATAACCTTATCGTGTTGGTGCAAATCTCCATCATAGAGGACAGGCACTTGTTTTCTAAATTATTTAACATTATTAAAATTTCTAAAAATCTTTCTTCATGGTTTTTTTATAGAACTTACCGGAAATATACCAGGGAAGGTATATTGACAATTTCGTATGTTTTGGCTGCCTGCATACTAGCAATCTTCACAAAGTCAATGCCAAACATATCGGCTTCGCCATCGATCTCCTCCAGCTCTTCCAAAATCTCTTCGCACTCAGCACAGTCATCGTCATCTAAATAGGGGTAGAGTCTTAAAAACCCGTCTTTGGGTCCTTTAAAGTACAGTACTCACAAAAGAAAACTACCAACAGAGTGGACTCGGCCATTAGACGATCCAACATGCGCTCGTTGACCTCCTCGATTTCATCGGCCAACTCACGGTTGTCATCATCGATAAGCCATTCCAGCACGGACTGCTCGTTTTGCAGGTCGCCCTCAAACAGCAGGGGATTTCCATTTCTACATAACAACACAGTTTGCTAGAATGTTAAATTTCATATATTAGCGAGACTTTTACCTGAAATAAACCAAAGCTGGGAAGGTCTTAATCGAATAACGTTTGGCCAGCTGGGGATCTTGTATCTTGACCATATGAATTCCGAACACGTCGCATTCGTCATCGATCAGTTCCAGTCCCTCTAATATCTGGTCGCATATGTTGCAGTTGATTTTGTCTGCCAAAATTAGAAAAGCCGGTCAGTTACCCCATAAGTACAAGTACTTCAAAGTTAGTGCCAAGCTTAAGAATCGGTTAGCAATAGTGTGAGAGGCAAAGAAAACGCCGTAACAAAAAGGTATTCCCGTCCAAACTAAATTCCAGTGAATTCCAGAAATTTCGAACCCAAATATTATATTAACAGAAATTGAATGGAGTGTAGAAATCTAATTTAGTTTGGTCGTAATACGATGGAAGCCTGGTTAAGTGCAGTCCAGAATAAATTCTGGACGAGGAACCAGAGTTCCTAAGGAGGGTTAGACGTGGTTAGGGCTCCATGGAACATGCGCAGACGGAGCTTTGGAGTTGTTTTTTATTTGGTGCACGTGGAATACGGAAGGAATACCTTGTTTTTCGATACGTTTTCTTTTACGTGAGATGTAGTTTTGTACGAATTTGCTGGATGAGTGTTTTGTGGATTTGGTGGTGGTCAGGTTGCTTTCTTTAAGACTAGAGGGGGAGCAGAAACTGCGGCAGAAAGCGGGTTGCTTTCCATTGCGCTCTTGCGGCACTGAGGACGGATCAGGTTTCGATTTCGGTTTAAGTCAGGGATAATTTTTGTGGTATGTGGTTCGATGCAGTTTTTGGGGCGGGGATACAACAATTCAGAATGCGTGAGATCATGAGAAAGTGATGGGCAACAGTTGACCAATCGATCGCATAGAGCTACTCACAGAAGTACACGGCTAGGTACTGGGTCTCCTCCACCATGGTCTCGAGCATTTGGCGAGTGATGAGCTCGATGCGATCTTCGGTCTTCTGTGTGATGAGCCACTGGAGCACCTCCTCCTCTTCGCTAAGTTCACCTAGAAGAAATGATCTTAATACGATCGATACAAATGCCTAGAATAGATTCAGGGGCCTCTTTACCCTCAAAGACGTTGGGTATTCCTCCCTCAAAGTAGACCAAGGCAGGATACTCATGCACACCATAACCATCGGCAACGGAGAAGTCCCTGGTCTTCACGAAGGTAATGCCATGCTTGTCGCAGTCGTCATCGATGTTTTCCAGCTCCTCCAGAACCTTGGTGCACTGCTCACAGCCATCCGCATCTGGTTGTCAAAGTGGGTTTGGGGAATATCTAATTATTCAACAAGCACTATAAGGGAGCAGGGACAATACAGGGTACTACAGCAAGCACTACACGTATGTGAACTGAAGCACAGCAGAAGTTGAAGGGGATATGAGATGGCAAACAACTATGGTACATTTCATAAGTCCTGGTTCCACTAATACTAATTTTTTACGCCTTAAATGGAATCAGTAATTATGATTGAAATACATATCAACGGATCAGGCTAGTACACAAACAGAATATAAGGGATAGATACTAATCGGGGATCTGGGAGAGAACATCTAACGCTGAGAATACAAAGAAGGTTTCGGGTATGAAAGAGATACAGAGAAAGAGTCAGAGCAACAGAGAGATAGTGCTAGTTTCGGGTGAAGATTCTAAGTTCTTTTGGGTTTATACATTCGCTGTACAAGGTGGAGGTGTGTGGTGTATATGATGTCTGGTTGTGCTGGGTTATGTGGTTAAACATTCTTGGACTCATTCCAGTTGCACGAGATCTATACAGAAAGGTGGGCTACCATCCTCTTGCTTGCCGGTCGATGCATCCGGTGGAGCAGCTGCCGAGGCCGGCTGTGCCGACTCCCCCTCGGGACCTGCCCCTGCCCCGGGCGAGTCCTCCGCCCCACCAGCGGCCGCCTCGGAAGGATCTGCCTCACTGCCGAAGGCGGCTGCGGCGCTGGCTGCTCCGCCCTCCTGCTGGTGCTGATCCCGTTCCTTTTTCAGACGCGCCTTGCGCGCCGCCTTCGAATTACAAATGTCGCACTTGGTCTTGTTCCCTACGTTTGGGTATCGATTTTGTGTGGTATTCGGTTTGAGAATTCGGATTTCGGATTTCAGAGAGCACGGTCGTAGATAGAAATATAAATAAAGTCTTGTTTGGTTAGATACACAGAGAGCGCTGATAAGAGGCTTAAACTAGATTGATCTAATTGGTTAACTACAATAACACAGAGTTTGCTGCAAACTTTTTGCGCAAAAGCGTGATTATCAATCCTACAAAAGTACTTGGAACGAAAGTGTAACAGATATTAGGTTTTTAACCAGACGAAACATAAATTTGGACATTGTACTTTGTGCTGGAATTGATATCACCAAACCGATTGCAGCAATTAAAACCTGGTTCCTCAGAGATATTGAGTATTCATCAGTTAAATCAGTGGCTCCTTCCGGCTGCAAACTTACAAAAGTACACGGCTATGGAGCCAGACTCTTCGATCAGGTGAACGAGTCTTTCGCCTTCGAGATCTTCGATAACATCTCCACTTGGATCCTTTTGCGTGATCAGCCAAGTAAGGATCTGTTCTTCTTCGTAAAGATCACCTGGAAAGGGGGGAGATTATATTATGTGTACCATGACCGAATAGAGAGATTCTACCGGCGTAAATGACTGGCTCCTTGGATGTGGGCTTGAAGAAGACAATGGCAGGCAGGGCAAACACTCCGTATTCCTTGGCCATTTGCTTGTCATCGATCTTGACAAAGTCGATGCCCGCCTTGTCCGCCTCGTCGTCTATGTGCTCCACCTCGGCCAGGACGCGAGGACACTGCTTGCACTCATCGCTATCTGAGGTTGGGATAGGGGTTCGATATAATCCGAATTAATATAAACACTCGAGACCTACAGAAGATCACCGCCACGTAGTCGGAGTTCTTGCGGATCTTCTCGAACATCTTGCGGTTGACCTGCTCGATGTGGTCGGTCATCTCCATGTTGGCCGGACTGGTCAGCCAGTCGAGTACCTCCTCCTCGTCGTCGATGTCGCCATCGTAGTTGATGTACTTGCCCTTCCGGAAATAGGTCAGACCCGGGGGATTCCTGTATCCGTACTTCTTGGCCATCAGTTTGTCGTGCATTTTCACTATATAAATGCCATATTCGGCAGCCTCATCGTCGATTAGTTCGATGTGCCGTAGCACTCGTGGCGAGTCGGGATCATCTTCTTTGTCTGCAATCACAAGCGATTAGCATTAGCAATGGCATTTAATAGATGTTTTCATATCTTATCCTATATAAATTATAATTTTGCTTGTGTTTTGTTTTTTTTTTTTGGGCAGTTACAGTTTTTAGTGGGCGCGATTTAACAATAGTATACTCCTAGATTCCTTAGCTTTTACCTAAAACACAGTCCGCATGTTATACTTACAAAAAACAACCGCTAAAAAGTCTTTGGTGCCTATATACTCGAAGAGTTGATCACGATTAATTAGCTGAATGCTTTGGTCGGCCTTCTGTTCGAGGATCCAGTTGAAGACGTCCTGATTGCTTGCAATGTTACCTATGTGTGGAATGTTAGACTGTCGTTAGAGGAGATCATGTTTTCAATCAGAGAACAAATGTTTGGGCTTATCCATTTGGTGGCACATACCTGTTGGCTGCAGTTTGTCAATCAATCATCAGCTTTATTCTTGAATGTGTATACAAAATTAATGATCGCTTTGTTTATTTTATCACCCCCGCCCAAAAGAAATTCGAAATGGGCTATTTGCCAAATCCCCACCAGGTCATAATTAATGGCCACATTTGGCTGGCTATGACTCAAAAAAACACATTTCTTTTTAGGGGGAGAGGTGCTTTTGACACAGCATACATATTCAAGGCTTTTTAAATATATTTTAAACATATTTTTAATGACTTTGTGTTTGAAATTATTTAAGTCAAAGAATTGCTGAGTTTCAACAATTGTGTGTTTTAGAATCTTCAAATAAGAGAACCTAATATTATTGAGTTGGATGATTTTTATTGAATATTCTTACATTTTCTTTCAAAAGATTATGTTTACAAAAGTGCTTTCAGTTTGATTTGCGTTTGATTCTTACAATCTGACAATTTTCATTGGAGAAAATTAGTTTTACAAAAATACATTCGCTTGATCCTGACTTAACAGCTGCTGTTCAACAAAATTTGTTTACATATATGTTGGATTTAGTTACAATTGCGTGTAGAGTGATAGACTTTAGCTTAGAAAAACATAATGATAGATTTATAATTCGATATTTTTCAAATACCGATAACAAAAACAACAGCGAGCGGTACAGAAATCGCTCTCAGAAGAAAACAAATGAAACAAAATGGCGGGCTACATTTTATGCGAGGCCATTGTTCAGCGAGAAATATTGGATTTTCGCTTCCATAAATATACAACAAAACTAGTTATATGCTGCAACATATCTGATAAAAAAGCTCTGGTTACACAATATATCGGCTTATGGCTCCCAATGTTGGTATTATGAAAACAGTTGATAGCTCTCATCGTTACACGTTTCAGTTAAAATAGTTAAATTGGTGTAAATTGTTTCAAAAAATATTTTATCCGTCTGTTCGTTTTGTTTTGCTTTGCTTTGCTTGGCTCTTGTTTAAATTAGACTAACTACATAAATGTAAATTGTATATTGTGACAAAAAGAAGTAGTATCAAAAAAGTTTAGGCGTTTGTTATTGACAAAAGACAATGGCCGATTGATTTGTTAATAACAAAGTTTGCTGACTAAATATACAAGTGAAAGTTCTCAGAAGTTTGATAGTTGTTTGTTGAAGTAATTGCTTATAGTTTGAACAAAGTTTGTTGAAATCCGTTGACAAAATGCAACAAATGATTGGTTTTAGTTATAGATCTGGGCTCCACTCAGAAGAAGCGACCCATTTTGAAAATAGTTTAAGCGAAAATATCAACAAAGTTTTAGTTAGTAGGCTCTTTTCTTGATTAATGTTTAATTATTTTGGTTTTTGTGTGATTCTGCTACCTGTGGATCTTCTTCTCAACGTGGAACAACGATTATTGATGTGCGGCTTAGAAAAGTGTGGACTATGATACGATCTGACACCGAGGATTAATGGGTATTTGATAGTAGTGTGTCAGTCGATTCAAGGTTAGTGAGGAGGGACCTCCTTATAACGGACACACAGCCATACGAATTCAGTTATTCAGTTGGTTCTTGTCAAAGTTGTTGTCTTTTGCAGTCACACATATGTAGATGATGTACATTTAATAATAGAAACCTGTCATTGAAGGTTCTTTTGGTGGCTATACAGGTTTGAGTTGGTTTTGGTATTGGTTTTGGTTTGGTTTTGGTTTGATATTTGATTTATCGGTTGACAACAGTGCGTATACGTGCTACTTTAGTATGGCATATCATTCAATCTCATACAATCACTATCTAACTGTCTGTGTTTTTTTTCACATTCAGTTAAACTTGTTGCCTTACTCCCACAGAGAGAAATCCTGAAAAACGATATCATACAAATTTTTTAGTCGATTTTGGAAAAAATGAATGCCTGCAAGACACAAGAGAGAGAAAAGAGAAGAGAAATAAACAAATAAGGTAACGACCAAATTGTGCGTGAGTGTCTGTATGTGTGTCTGAGTTACAATGGGCACAACTAGAGCAAAAATGATCAGGACGTTAAAAAAAAAAGGACAATGAGTTTGACTTTTGTCTTGACTTGTTTCTAGTGTTTCTAGGTGACTATGGTGTGGTAGGGTCCAAAGGTTCCTGGGCCTACGTACCGGTTTTGACATTCAGCTTGCCGGATTTCTTCGACGACTTCTGCTTGGCCGACTTCTCCACCTCCTGGGACTCCTCGTCGTTGTTGTCCTTGGCTACCACCTTCTTGCCAGCCTGCGGCTTGTTGCTTCCTCCGGATCGCTTGTTGGCATACGACACCTTGACCAGGGGCTTCTCCTCATCATCATCATCCTCCTCGGAGTCCTTGGGGGCTGGGGCCTTGGTCTGCTTCTTGGACGCCACCGGTTTGCTGGAGGACTTGGATGCCGATCCGGCGAACTGGAAGTTACCGCCGCCAATGGGACGCTTGCCCTGATCGCCTTCGCTGTGTCCGATCCGCTGGGCCGTCATCTTAGGAACTTTCGTTGACTTCTCCAATTTGGTTGGACAGCATTGGAATGGTTTGTAATCGTTGGGCACGAAATTGTTGCCGCGCTTAGCTGAATGGCCGTCATGACCCAATCCAACATAGAAACATTCGTCATCTGTGTAAGCAAACAAACAAAAACATTTTGTCAGATTGTTTAATTTAAATAGATTTTTTGTTTTTTTATTTTGGTCCACTAACAACAGAAGGTTCGTTACGATAAGTTATTCAAAAAAAAAGGTTTTAACAAAAGTGCATCATTGTAGGCTAGAACTAAGAATATAAGTCGTTAACTGGCTCTCAACACTTTTCTTAAACACCTCCGATATTACCACAGAGAGAGAAAAACAGCAGTTAGTACGATATTCGATTTGATTTTCATTATTTTCAGACTTGATAGATTCTTTGTTCTAGAGTAAAAAGCGTGCTTTATGAGTGGAAGAGATTTGAAATTGTTTAAATATAATTTGTAATTATATTTCAAAACTACTAACTGACAAAATGCTTTTGATGCTGACTGTACAAGTTTCGGATTTTGATTCTAATTTGTAATAAACATATTAAATATCGAGTTAAGCCCACGTTGTACATTTCGTTTTCGACTGAGTGAATTCACTATATTTCACTTGATCGAATTCTCGGTTGTTTTTGTTTATAAGCTTAAATATTTTCCATGGAACAGCAGGATCGTCATTAAATAATATATATTAAACAAACATAACGATTACTTAAAGTATTATGAGAAATTAAATTATAAATCAAACAAAATAGGTATTAACACATTTTTTGTATCATTACAGAAATAGTTACGTTTTTCAAAACAAAAAAAAAATAAATTTCTTCGCTTAAATAATTTCAAACATTGTGTCAGCTATGTATGATTTAATAATTCTTTGAATATGTCCTTTGAGAAACCAAAGACATCTGGCTTAAGAACTGGATAAAGCTTTGGGTGTAGGATTAAACATTCAGGAGGATCAAACATAGACGAGTGTGGATAGTTAATTTGGCTGTACTGGGTTCCCAATTGCGTTTGTCCCTCACATGATAGTTGCTTTAGCACAGAAGCTATGCGGGGAGCACTGGTATACAGATCAAGTGAGTGTGGAGTGGTTACCTTGTTTAAATGCATTTCTATTTGAATTCCTCTTCCCCAAGTCTGTAGATAGACAATGAAATTAACTGTAGTTGAAGTTTACAGGGTTTTTTGGGGGCATTGCAAAGTGTACTAGGATGAATACTCAGGTGGGGAGGAAGTGGGATCGGAATTTCAGTCGGGTTGGACTAAACATTGAACAACTTCAGTTAGTGCGTCAATGGCAACTCACATTCAGGTATTACCTATTTCATCTATAAGCCGACCCGAGCAAAGGTCAGCAAGACGATGTATCGTTCGACCTTTGGCCGTGTGCCTATATTTTGGTTTACTTTTAATATCTTCTTCTTCGTCGTCGTCCTCGTCATCATCTTCGTCATCCCCATCTAAATCCTTATCGTTTCCGTCAGTATCTTCCTCGTCATCCTCATCGTCGTCGTCCCCATTTTTGTCTTCTTCGTCATCGTCGTCCTCGTCGTTCCCTTTATTATCATCGTCTTCGTCTTCCTCATCGTCCCCGTTATTATCATCTTCATCATCTTCGTCGTCCCCATTTTTATCTTCTTCGTCATCATCGTCCTCGTCGTCCCCATTATTATTGTCGTCTTCGTCATCCTCATCGTCCCCATTATTATCTTCGTCATCTTCGTCCTCATCGTCACCATTATTATCATCTTCGTCCTCATCGTCACCATTATTATCTTCCTCGTCATCTTCGTCCTCATCGTCCCCGTTATTATCTTCTTCATCATCTTCGTCCTCGTCGTCCTCATTATTATCATCTTCGTCTTCTTCATCGTCTTCATTATTATCTTCGTCATCATCTTCATCCTTATTATTATCATCTTCGTCGTCTTCGTCCTCGTCCTTCCCATTATTATCATCATCGTCCTCGTCGTCCCCATTATTATCTTCATCGTCATCTTCGTCCTCGTCGTCCCCATTATTATCTTCTTCGTCATCTTCGTCCTCGTCGTCCCCATTATTATCGTCTTCATCATCTTCGTCCTCGTCGTCCCCATTATCATCGTCTTCGTCATCCTCATCGTCCTTATCGGTACCCTTTTCCCCAGTTTCATCCTCCTCATCCTCATCCCCATTTTTAACGAGTAGTTTTTTTTGTCGTAATCTTTCATTTCGTATCGAATACTGCAGACGCTTTAATTTATCTCTTTTATCCTCATCGTTTTCTTTGGGATAGCGCAATTTAACAATTTTCTCATCACTTCCGTCGTCATCATTGCCTATATAAGAAATTATCATTACGTTTTGTTCTTTTATAATGGTCAAGAAACGGGTAAATGATATTGGATTTATCAATTTTTTGAAGATTTATGGAACCTTTTTTGTCTCAACTGACTTTATAGCGAAAGTTTGGCGTATGAGCGTGAGTTAAAAAGCAGATAACACATTGGAAAAAGGGAAGCTTACTCTTTTGATTGACTAACCACTGCAGCACACGGTTTTCATTTTTGAGATTACCTGAAGGAGAGAAGATTGTAAGTTAAAGGTGCTCTTGCTAAAAATTGACAAATATCTTACCATCATACATAATCGGGACGCCGGTCTCGTAGTAGACCAAAGCTGGGAATGCGAAAATGCCAATTTCATGGGCCAGCTTAACGTCATTTGATTTGACAAACTGTATTCCGTGCTTATCGGTGTCATCGTCGATGTTTTCCAGTTCCTCCAAGATATCAGAACACGATTCGCATTCATCGTCATCTGTACCATGTATAGAATATGTGAACTAAAGGCCCAATTAAGCTTATCAAGGAATTTACTTACAGAAGAACACAGCCAGGTGCTCAACATCGTTGATCAAAACTTGCAGGGTCTTACGATCGACGGACTCAATGACATCAGCTGTAGACTCGTGCAAGTCAATAACCCACTCAAGAATTTCCTCTTCCTTCATCAGGTCACCTATAAAAATTAAAATCCAGAATATTTTTTTTCCGAAAAACTTATTTTTTGCTAAACTCTTACCGGTGTAAATTGTTCTAAACTTATGTCTATAAAATGCAAGTGCCGGCAGACCGGGCAGATCGTACTCCTTATCAATATCATCGTCGGATGTCTTTACAAAGTCAATGTCTTTTTCCTCGCACTCGTCATCGATGTTCTCCAGCTCGTTCAGGATCTTCTGGGCCTTCTTATCGCCCTCAGCATCTGTAGATTCAAAATCAAGTGTAAATATAACAAAAGAGCAATTTTTTTGTTTTCTTACAGAAGAACACGACAACGTGATCGTTTTCAGCCAAGATTTTATCCAACATCTTCACATTGACCTCCTCGATTTTTCCGGGAATTTCGAGGGTCTCGTCGTCGGTAATCCAAGCCAACACTTCGTCTTCGTCGTCCAGGTCTCCGGTAAAGTGCAATGGATCACGGTTCCTGAAGAACACCAGGCGTGGATAGGTCTTGACATTGTACTTCTTGGCGACTCCGGTATCCTCAGTGGTAACAAAAATGATGCCAGCCTCGTCCAACTCGTCGTCGATGCTTTCCAGGGCGTTCAGAGTGTGGTCGCAGGTCTCGCCGGGTTCGCAGGGACCGGTGAAGAAGACAACGACATATTCGTGCTCGTTGATCAGGTTGACCAGGATCTCATCGGTAACCTCCTCGATGGTAGCCGTCTTCTTCTGCACCAGCAGCCACTCCAGAACCTCATCCTCGTTCATCAGATCGCCTTCGTAGAGGGCTGGGATCTTGTTCTCGAAGTAGATGAGGGCGGGCAAATGGTCGAGACCGTATTCCTTGGCTTCGGCGGCATTATCGATACGCACGATGACAATTCCCTCCTTCTCCAGCTCATCGTCGATGTTTTCCAGTTCGTTCAGAATACGCATATCCTGCTTATCGTCCTTGTCGTCTGTGAGAGAATTCATTGCAAAAACCATATGAACTGTCGTTAAAAAGGTTACTCACAGAAAATAACCGCCAAGTGCTCGGTGTTCTCGACCAGTTTGTCCTTCATCTCATCGGTGACTTCGGGAATTTCGGAATAGCGCTTCTGGTGCACCAACCAGCCAAGCAGCTCATCCTCTTTCATCAGATCACCCTCGTAGATGTGTGGAATTCCACGTTCAAAGAGTACAATCGATGGTATCTCATCGATACCCCATTCTTTAGCCTCCTTGTCATCATCGATCTTGACAAAGGCAATATCATTCTGATCGCACTCATCGTCAATGTTTTCCAATTCTGCGAGGATTTTCTGTGATTTCTTTTGGTCTTTGTCGTCTGTGAAGATGATTTCATGTTGTTAGTTCAATCACTTTATTTTATCTTTTGGAAGCTAGGAAGTAAAAGGATCAACAAACTGCTGTTTCGCTCAACTTGTAACTTGAAACCTACAATCTACATATTTTTAACGGTCTACCAATCGTCACCTTTACCAAAAGAGGAGGTCTAATTGTTTTTGTTAAGGTTTGATTAAAGAGTTTAAAAAGCGCTTTTGAATATTATTACTGGAAAGCACGTCGAGCTCTCGACAGAGGGTTAACATTACGATTGCAGACACCCCAGAAGTACAACACCAAGGCAACTGTACAATATCAACAGAGATTACGAGTCGAGTGCGCATGGGTCCCGGCACAAAGTCGCGGAGTGTGGGGCCTGAAATCACTTACAGAAGAGAACGGCTACGTGGGGCATTTTCTCAATGATCAAATCCAACATTTCGTCGGTGATGTCCTCGATTTGATCGGAACTCGTTTGGTCTGTTAGCCATTTCAGGAGCTTCTCCTCGTCCTCCAGATTGCCTTCGTAAATAGTTGGAATGCCTTTTTCAAAGTATATCAGTTTAGGAACTTTATTGATGCCATATTCAACGGCCTCCTCGGGATTGTCGATCTTCACGAAAGTAATGCCCAAAGCGTCGCACTCGTCGTCGATGTTCTCGAGCTCTTCGAGCACTTTCTGGGACTTCTTGTCGTTGTTGTCGTCTGGAAAACAGCTGGTGAGCAAATTTTTGGCCCTATGCTGGGATATGGGGATTTCAATATTTACAGAACAGCACGGCAATGACGCGTCCTTCTTTGATCATTGTGTCGAGCATTTCGTCCGTGACGTCCTCGATCTCATCCCGTTCCAACTGCCCCAACAACCATTTCAGAATCTGCTCCTCGTCCATGAGATCGCCGTCGTACACATTTGGAATTTCTTTTTCAAAGTAAACAATGGCCGGAATCTGCAGATCGAATAATATTTATGATTCGTATCGACTTCTAGAGCATTGGGATCGTACCGAATCGATTCCGTAATCGGCTGCCGCCTTGGCATCGTCGATTTTCACAAACTGAATGCCATGCTTGTCGCAGTCGTCGTCGATTTGCTCTAGCTCCTCCAACACGGTCATCGAGTCGTCATTTCCATGATCATCTGCAGATTAATAGCGGTCGGACATGAGTCGCCGTAAATCGAATCTCAACTACATACAAAATAGCACAACCAGGTTGTCGATATTGCTGATCAGCGTCGACAGAGTCTTCGAAGTGACGTCCTCAATAACATCATCTTCATCGCCCGTCGACTTATTCTGCACCAACCATTCCAAGACGTCCTCCTCCCGCTGAAGTTCACCTGGAGACACAGTTTCGATATTAGCGACACGAGTGGTATACCGAATTCAAGTTCAGCATGGGATTGATGTGTGTTTTTTTGGTTGGTCTGTTTTCGAGTTTTAAATGGGTGGGTGCGGAATGGAGGTACCTTCGTATATGATCGGAGTCTGGTGGCGGTAGTAGACCAGGGCTGGCAGATTGCCGAGATTGTACTCGTCGGCCAGGGCCTCGTCGTGAATTTTCACAAACCCGATGCCCAGCTGATCAGCTTCGTCGTCGATATTCTCCAGCTCCTGCAAGGCCTTGGCGCACTTGCGGCATTGCTGTTTGTCTGGCGGTTGGTTTCATAGAATCAGGCAAACATTAGATAATTAGGGTCGTAAGACAGATGGGGGGAGGCTAACGTCTCGGAAAGCGAGGAGGGGCTTTGGATATTATTACGTCTGGAGTTTTAGAACATTCACGGATTATATATCGTGCGGTCGTAAGCTGTGGGGTTATTTCAGATCTCAGACAGGGGTGAGTGCATGCAAGGCCCATGGAGTTCCGTTAGACTGCAGCGTTACCCAATCATTTCCCAGGCGGTTCGTTTATTTACAGATTACAATTTGTTTACAGCATCCCTATCTGTCTGCGTGCAACCTGTTGCAATATGCTTGACTTGTCTTGGTAGAGGAAACACATTCGGATGGGGTAAGATAGAAGAGGATTCGGTTCTTGAAAAGCTCGCTCCTCTCTTTATGCTCCTATTCACCTATCTCATTGCGCTTTGCTTGCCACATTCGTAAATGTGTGCGAAGCTTTCGCTTTTTTGTGCCCGACGCGGCGTATACGTAATATTTATTTCTGTGGTCCTCTTGGTGAACTTGTAAGTGTCTTTTGACGGCTGACTGGCCACATGTTTATGATGCAGCACCCTGCTAAAAGCCAAATGCAGTTAGCCGGCGGTAGTAGCCAGATTTGAATTATTTTGAAAGAAACACTGCCCCGACCAAGAATCATTCTGCCATTCAACGCGCCACCGGTTGAGTGGGTGTCGCCAAGGTGACAAGGCCAGTGCACACATTCGCTCGGTAAAATCATTTCATAATTTACTGCACAATATGCGAAAAGCCAGAAAAATGAAACATGTTTATGAGGCTCCCACTTTCCCACTGACAGCCTGACCAATTTTTGGCCCTGCCGCAGACATGGGCAAATGTTGAATTTAACTAAAAATAGTGCAAGTCAGTCGGGGAAGAGCCGAGCACACATAGTTACAGAGCACATATGTAGGTATTTGTATATTATGTAAATCAGCATTTGGCTGCGACAACTAAAGATCTGCCCATAACCATGCATTGCCGGCTCGTGTCCGCCATGTTGATGTATTGCTGTATGCAAAAGCAATTAAAAGTGCTGTCTGTCTGCAGCCCCTGATGGATACAAACTCAATTGCAGGGGGTATGGGGATGGACAGGGGCGTAGTGCAGTACCCCACTACCAGAGGGGGTGGCAGAGGCAGAGGGGGTCCCGGCCACAATACAATGGGCCAGAATATCTTGTCTTGTCTCACCTACATGCTGTTCGCATCAATGCATTGGGAAAACCTTTTTGTTTTTCGCATGCCGTCTGCGTTTGATAAAAATACCTATAGATAGTGTGGCGGATACTACGGATATATTTATGTGTTTCTTCGCACACACAGAGATCGCGGCAATCCACATGCCCACTCTATAGTTAGTTGTTTCAGAATTAAGCAAAAATAACAGCAGCAACAAGAGCAGCGAAAAATCATTTTGTTGGCCGACCAACTGCTTGAGTTTTCTATTTATAACCCTAAAATTGTAGGTGGCTGTGTCGGAAAGAGACGGACAGCAACAAATACATTGTTGTTGGCCAAGACACCAACGTGACTGTATAGTCGTATATACCATCGTTTTCTGCAAGTATTGAATTTATGTTTTTCAATAGGTAAATTCCTGCCTATCTTCCATAATTTGCACAAGGCCAGCCATCACATTCTTGGATCGCAGCAAAGGTGATTCTTCCAGAGTTCCCTGCCATCCGACCTTATCTAACATCAATATTTTAGTATATCCTATTCAATTAACCGCCGGTTAGGGATGATATAGTGATTTAGGGGGAATGGGGAGATGCCGTGGCGACAAAAACATAATCTGGCGCCGAGCCCAGACATTCATCTGCAATGGCTCTGTTGTTGTAATGTTTATTATTATACGTATACGTAATATGTGTGTCTGCCTTCGTCGATAGCGAACGCGAAAATGAGAGATCTTCTTTTTCAAACAAAAATTACTAAGAATTACTATGGTGGGGATTGGGTCTATTTAAGAATCTGTCCTTTACCCAGGGCATCGACGTTAACTTTGGTGTACTAGCTGACCTCCGAAGAGATTAAGATCTCCCAGTAAAATCATCATGAGCAGAACTAAAACGTGTACCATCAACTTGAATCCGATAATCTCCGTCCCGCTGTGCGTAATTTTCCTGAATCGATCCATGAGAGCAAGCACCAACACACTGGATTGTTCGGTTATTTGGGTTATATAGCCAATTATGAAGTACATATTTACAATTCGGATCATGGGCATTTTTTTTTAGATTACTGGAATCAGGAAAATTATGGTGGAATAGGGTAGAACATTGTCAATGAATTATTGTTGGGGAAACAAAGTTTCAAAATAGATATTTATTAGAGGGAGAGGGCGAGGTAGAAGGTTCCCAGTATTTTTTCAAGATCAACTTACCCATAACCCTGGGCGGGCATGTTTCATGATCTGGACCTGTAGTCGTTTGATAAAATATATATTGCATTGATCAATTGTCCATATGTAAATTGGCTCAGAGAGGGTGCGAAATACCGCCGGAAGAGATATATATTTATATAGATAGTAATATTGAGTGTTAAGTATGCCGCCATTTAGCTTTGGTTAGTCACAAGTAATATACGTATTGATAGAGAGAGAGATACAGACATACGCATAAGAAATCGATTTAAAGAATATACAGTATAGGTAGATATGATTGTAGTCTATACCTAGCTGTATGTTTTTTAGTCACAAGAGAGCTAAACTGTTTGTGTTCGCTAAAAACTGCAACTGCTTTGAAATAGAACATCATCAATTCAAATCTCCGACAATAAGAGTGTTCGGAGTGGTAAACGTTTGAAGAAGTAAGTGTTAAGATCAAGTCAGTCGGACTTACAGAATAGAACGGCTACAAAGTCGGTGTCCTCGATGATCTTCTGCAATATCTTGGAATTGACCTCCTCGATGCGATCGGGCAGATCCATGGCCTCCAACGAGGTGAGGAAGTCGAGCACGCCCTCCTCGTCCATGAGGTCGCCATCGTAGATGATAGGCTCCTTTTCCCTGTATAACGCATTGATTATCTCTAGTGTCATTGACCCCCTTTTAGAGGTACTCACCTGAAGTAGGTGAGGGCGGGGAAGTTCTTGATGCCATACTGTTTGGCTAGTCGTTTGTCGTTGATTTTCACAAAGTCCACACCGAAGGAGTCGGTGTCATCGTCGATTTTCTCGAGTTCCGCTAAAACCTTATCACAGGTCACGCAGCTACGCGCATCTGAAACCGTAAAATAGAGATACCAACATCAATTGACAGTCGGCAACTGTTGCGTGTGACGCGCATAACAGAATTCACATTCGAATTGTGAAAATTGAAAACTCAAAGCCAAATCCCAGGCAGAAGTGGTACCAAATGCCGCAGAGATTATTCATTCCTATAGTAGATGCAGGATGCATCATCGTATGCAGAATAGGGCTGAATGAATGAATGAAATGACAGCAGCGCCGGGCCAATTCGGTGCTATTAATGCGGCAGCAACTGCCAACAAATATGCTAAAATTTCTAAATTAATTCATAAAATTCATGCGGCCACTATTAGGGAAATGAATTGCAGCAGACAAAAGAGCACGTCTTCTTAAATGTTCAGGTTGGTTAAACGGCAGACTGCAAGAGTATGGCAATCATTAAAACATCGCCGAGTAAACATCCATTTCGATTGTTTGGATCTCTATATGAAGCGATCTTTCACTGCTTGAAAAATAATCACAGGTTGGTCGAATTTCCTGCCCCTTATTACGGGTTCTAATGGGGCGATCAAGAACATGGAACAGACTAGGCTGATGAATCCATCGATTCAATTGCAAAAGGAAGTTCTATTCTTGGTGATCCCTGTGTTTTCGCAAGGCATTGCAATAACATAAATTGCGTTTACTTGCAAAAATAAACACCTATATCTCCTCAATAGAATTCATTTTAAATTTTACCTATCTCTGACTTGATTCAATGATCTTCCATTTGCGTAGATGTTCCATGAACATTTTCGTTTGTTTGCCAGGGGCATTGGGCTTGACGTTTTTGGACTCGAAATATGTATTTTCATTGTCAACAATTATTTTTGGAATTGCCGCCAATGCTAATGAAACACATCGTGAAATGTGTACGTAAAATAAGATGTATATACATATACATGGGAGAATGTTACAATCCGAAGATCACTTTCTTGTTTATTAACTTTGACATTGGGGGACAATGCATTAAGGCCGAATCTATTTTTAAGGTGATTAAATATATTTTCTATAGAACCATTGGCTGTTTGTTTATAGGACTTATTTTTTGTCAATTTCAAGCGGCTGAGTGTTTATAGAGAAAACAATGGGAATCCGTTTTTTCCTAATCCAAAATAGATCACCACAGATTGATCCATTTGAAAATAAATTCAAAGGGCAGGAAATCAGTTGCCAACTGGAAGGAAGTAAGGTTCTGCTATTTTTTGGCAAGAGGTCATTTTTGTGCCAAAAGTTTGCGCCAAAAAAGATAAAAAACATAGAATATAAAAAGCTGCCTCGGTCTCTGAGGCGAAGACGATGGCAATTTCTCACAGCCAAGAGAGATTTCTCTACTCATAAACAGATCGCAAAGATAGCGCACAAACCAAAAAAAATATATAGAAAAGGGGAAGGCAACACAGACTACTGGCAACATGGGGAGGAAATAAAGAAATAGGAAAAAAAAATAAAAAATTAACCGAATGAAAATCTCGGACATTTCGAGCAAACGAATTTTTCACATATTTTCATTTGTATGTGAATTTTTAGAATTTTCACTAGCGAAAATTTATATAATATGGCTTCTGCTTCTGCTTCTGTTACTATTTCGAGTCCGGTGGGCCGACAATAAAAGAAAAGAACGATGCCCGGACGTCACTCGTGGTGGCACGGGAACGGGATGGATCCATGGAATCGGAATCGGAATCGGAACTTACACCAGAAGACGGCCACGTAATCCTTGTCGGCCAGGAGCTTCTCCAGCTGCTTGGCATTGACCTCCTCGATGACGGCTTCCGGTTCAATGGGCGCCACTGGCTGCGAGCCCTTCTTGCTGTTGTTGTTGGTAGCGCCGTTCACATATCCGGGAAAACTCAGTGCCAGCAGAGCGCACACGAGCAGCGAAAGAGTCTTGAGGCGAGTGAAAGTCATCCTTCGATCCGATCCCTCACTCACAATCGGTTACGGTCTATCTATCTTCGGTTCGATGGTATCCTAAGCCCTTAACTCGAACATGCGTGCGGGTATCTGCTCTTTTTTATTGGTTATATACTTTATAATTAATTCGTTCTCGTCGTTTGGTATTTTTTTTTTTTCGTTATTAAAATTTGTATTCCTTTGAGAATCGGTCACTATTTTTAGTTGATAATGGTATTTCTTTCTTTCGCAATTTATTTTATGTATAACAACTTTTGGTACACTGATACATATACAGGCGAAATATATGTAGGGTATATATGAGAAAAATTAGATTATATATATTGCTTCTTGCTTCTATTAATTGTACGTTTTCCGCGGACTGTACTCTTTGCCTTTCAGATTTTGTCCCACTCCGTGCAGAGGTCCGCTCGCAACTGAAAGTATTTTGGTGGAAACTCGGTGCCATTCAAGAGGCCTTGCCCGAGCTTTAGGGATCGTGCGTTTGGGGCTTTTCCTCCGCTTTTCCGCCCGCCGCGAAAAGCTTTTGGAACGAGCGCAGGAGCGCCGGATGGACCGATGGAAGATCGTGCGATGAGTGTGGTGAGTTCGGGCGAAGAGCGAGAGTTTTCCCTTTCGAAGTGCAGTTCTCTGTTTATGCATTTGGTACGAGCACAGAAATGGTCTTTACGAATGGTCCTATAAAAACAAATTGGCAAAAAACATTTTCACAATGTTTGTATGGGAAGCACTGTTAATAGTGTGTTGCACAGAAAAACTATATTGTTTAATGGTCAAGAACTTTCTTGGTTATGATGAGCAAGTCCCGCATGTGTTTCTGAGAGAAGGGACTTCAAAGTTGGAAAAACCCCATTTATGAATATCAATTTTTTTGTAATAGAATGGATTCTTGTTTAGTAAAATCTTGAAAATCAAAACCAAGTACAACTTTTAAGCTTTCGAATCCTTTCATTCCTGAAATTTTTTTAACGGAGTTATTAGTAAATATATTTATAGTCTAAACATAAAAATTAAGGAGAAGGCCTTAAACTACTTACAGACCATCTGTAGTTGACCTTTAGAACTATATTTCAAACAAGTAAACACATTTTTTAGCAAAAAAAAATATTTTTCTTAAAAAATTATTCTATCACTTCATGATTTTATTTCCTTTCCTGAATTACAAAATAGAACTTAGGCGTTAGCAACCTATACACAGGGGTGGTCAAAAGTATTTTCACAAAACAAAAGTTAAATATACTCATAATTTGAACTTACTTCTTGTTATTTATTTTATTTGATTATGATTTTTTGAAAATGTTTAGAATCATGAATTTGAGCCATATTTTTCTTTTTTTCATACAAATTTTTTCCGACATTGCATTGCATTGCATCAAAAAATTTAAGTTTTCAAGTCGAGGAAAAAAGTTTAAAAAGTAGATGCTTACACAAATTCGTCCTTTTCAATAAGTACTGAATGGGTTAAAAAATGTACTGTATCATTCAAACAGCATTTAAATTACCTTTCCATTGATGCCAAAGTTAACAAAAAGTAAGTTCAAATTATGAGTATATTTAACTTTTGTTTTGTGAAAATACTCTTGACCACCCCTGTATTTACACGTGCCAGAATGTCCTTTTTGTCCACTGTGCGGAGCCTTTGAAATAGAAAAAATTGGCGCCATTTTGATGTAAATAGCAGGTGCTTCTATCGATAGGACCTATCGAGCAGCTGACAACCCACGGGCCTGCTATCGATAGATCGGTGTCGAGCGTGATTTACGGAAATGTGAGCACTCACTTTAATTTTTCGTTAGGAACGGGTCGAACATTCGTTCTGCTGCGCACCAAATCTTTTCGGCCCCCAATGCAAGTGCCAAGCGCTGTAGCGGCGTCTGTAGTGCATACAAAATTACCAGTGACCCGACGGGAACCCTAGTTCCCAGCACCGTGCCTTCCCAAATTATCGATGTGATCTGGTCCCAGGACCCAGCGGATACGGATACGGAAGAAACTCGCACAAAAATCGATCGTTGAGGCGGTTCAAATCAAGGTAACGGTAACCGCCCTATCCATGAATGAAAGCAGCTTTTGCCACGGGCGTTTCCGCCTTTGGGCCATACGGCGGGTATATGGGTTCACCTTGAACCCAGAATTGCAGAAGGGGCCGCATACCAAATACCAAACCCAAACCCGATCCCCTTTGCTTGTGTGTATACTGTATACTGCGCCCCTTCCGCATGTGTGTGCATAAACATTGACGCCCACCCACCCGTAGAACAGCTGTTCGGTCCGCTTTTCACGCTTTTCAAGGCAAGCGAAGCGGAAAAGAGGAAAACGCAGGTATCCCTTTATAAGGTGGGGCACTTCTTATCGCACTACGCGGGCGTAGCTTTGATAGGGGGCGGGGCGTGGCTTTGGTTGTGGCAAGGCGAAGGTGAAAGTCATCAGCTGATATCGGCTAACCGCCTGCAGAACCCGTTATGCAGAGCAGCTGTTCGACGCCAAGTAAGTGGGACAAACCCCCCGCCGCAGTACTTAAGATATGGGGTTTTCTGGGCCCGACTTCCCGGTTATATCCGGATAGCGGGCTCTACAATATCGCAGGCAGATGTAAATTAGAAGCTTTCGCTGTAAGACCTAATTGAAGTTTTCTTTGTTCGTTCGCAGGCTGCACGACACTTCGAGGGCTTTTATGTGACTATTACTATGAAATTGGATGAAATAGTTGCATGGTAAGCGAACAAAGATCCATTATTCCATAGATTATCTAATTCCCCGCTTATGTGCTTAGGTACCAGAAAAAAATCGGCACCTATGACAAGCAAGAATGGGAGAAGACCGTCGAACAGCGGATCCTGGATGGCTTCAATAATGTCAACTTGAAGAACACCAAGCTGAAGACGGAACTGATCGATGTGGACTTGGTTCGCGGTAAGTATTACCCTGACTCTCCCACTAGTAATTTAATTAATGAATCGACCTTTGGCAGGTTCCACCTTCCCCAAGGCCAAGCCCAAGCAGTCGCTCCTCACAGTGATTCGCCTGGCCATTCTGCGCTATGTGCTGCTGCCCCTCTACGCCCAGTGGTGGGTCAGGCAGACCACGCCCAACGCCTTCGCCTTCATCCTCGTCCTGTACCTCACCCAGCTGTCCAACTGGGCCATCTACGTGCTTCACAGTAGTCGAATTGTGCCGCTGGTCTATGAAAAGCCATCGAATGGCACTTTGCTTCAGGCAGAGGCAGCAGAAGATGGTAATGACCCCGCTGCGGATAAGCAATCCGAGGAGCATGCCGACATGCTCAGCGCCCTGCTTATTCCGTGCGCCCTTAGCCTGCTGATCAGCCTGATCCACTCGCAGATCGTGGCCACAAACACTGCCACAGGCGTCGCGGGTGGAAGCAGCAAGAATAAACTCCGACGAATCTCTGCAAGCTTCTTAGGCGATAAGGCCGCGACCCGGGAGCATAGGGTGCGGCGCCGCAAGAAGTTTGTGCGGTAAGTGATGTCTATGTTTTAAGAAACCAATCTAATTGCCTCTCCCGCAGCATTCGCCAAATGGAACCTGATTTGTCCCAGGCCAGCAGCAACACTTCACTTCCAAACAGACGAACTGTAGCCAGCGCCATCGAAGTGCTTCCCAGGCCGATCACTCCGTCGCCCTCACCCTCGCCCAAAAGCATCTGCGCCGTTGTGCCTGATCCCATCCTGCCGGCCACACCACCTCCCGTCGTAATCAGGCGGAGTAGCAACGAGGAGACCTTCCTGACCACGACTGCCATCAGCCCACTACCGCAACCACTGGGAGCCACAGACGCACGCTTCGATCTCAGCAGGCAGACGGCGGGAGCGGCCCCCGAAAGCCCCAAAAAACGGAACGTCAACTGGCACACGCCCATCCAGATCTACGCCACTTACGAGCGCGCTGAGCAGCCATGCTGCAGCAGGGATGCCTGCGAGGATGGTGCGGAAGCGGATGGTGAAAGCAGTGTGGTTTCCGTCAAGCCCGCCTACCAGTCGCGGCGAAACATCGGCGAAGACGATGGCTTTGAGAGTCTGAATGGGAAAAGTTCCAGCGGAGAGGACAACAACCATTCGCCCCTGCCCATTGCGGGGGCTGTTGTGGCTCCCCCTGCTCCCGTCCAGACCAATCAGCTGCGCCTGCGTCTTAACTCGACAAACGCTGTGTCCACCAGTGCTCCGGCAACGGAAAAAAAGGGGCAGTCGCGCGGCAATGAATCTACAACCAGTTGCGCCGAGTCGGACGAGTGCGATGATGCGGATATCATATCCAGCCCCGCCTCGGCGTGCAACCAGGAGTGCACCACCTCTGCCACAGACTGGCTGGGAGTGACTACGAACAGCGAGGACTGCAGCTACACCTCTGACCTGGATCATTCTGACAGCGGTTTAAAACACGCAGCCTGCAGCGACGAAGATCCTGGCGAGTTGGACATTACGCCAACTACTATACTTAACCCTCACAGCAGCCTGGACCGCAGTAAGTGATAAAGCTTAAACCTCAAGATTCTGTTCACTTGTATCATAGTTCTGATGATAGTTCTGATTCCCAGTTAGCTGCACCATTTGGGACCAGCGAGACGCCAAAAAGGCACAGCTTTCCGTGCTGGAGATCGCCTCTTGCATAATCGAACGTGTGGATTCGATGGGCGAGGCCAACGACTATATCTATATAGGCGTGGTCTTCTCTTTCCTGCTCACACTTATTCCCATATTCTGCCGACTCTGCGAGGTAAGCACTTGGCAAAAGCAAAGATGTGAACTGCCTTGAACTCAAACTCGTTAAATGCCTTCAGGTCACACTCGGAAGCGACGCGGAGAAGGCCAGCGAGATAAGCTACTTGTACATGCCACAGCTGCTGTGGGAGAAGTCGTCTTCCTCGTTCTACACCCTGCTGGGCTTTGCCTTCGGGGATTCTCAGTGGGAGCGTACCGTCCTAGCTCTGGGCTTTGTACAGCGCCTTTGCCTGACGCTCATCCTGTTCATCATATTCGCCGTTGCAGAGCGCACGTTCAAGCAGCGCTTCCTTTACGCCAAACTCTTCTCGCACCTGACGTCGTCACGTCGGGCTCGTAAGTCGAATCTTCCGCACTTCCGCCTGAACAAGGTACGCAACATCAAAACCTGGCTCAGTGTTCGGTCCTATTTGAAGGTAAGCTAGCGTAACACCTCCAGCTACTTCGTGACCTAATTTTACCTTTGCAATCTCCGACAGAAACGTGGTCCCCAGCGATCGGTGGATATCATCGTTTCCGCCGCCTTCATAGTAACCCTTTTGTTGCTGGCCTTTCTAAGCGTCGAGTGGCTGAAGGATTCTGTGCACCTGCACACACACCTCACGCTGGAGGCCCTAATCTGGTCGATCACCATCGGGATCTTCCTGCTGCGCTTCATGACTCTGGGCCAGAAGATCCAGCACAAGTACCGCAGCGTGTCGGTACTGATTACGGAGCAAATCAACCTGTATCTGCAGATCGAGCAGAAGCCGAAGAAGAAGGACGAGCTGATGGTGTCAAACAGCGTGCTCAAGCTGGCCGCCGATCTGCTAAAGGAACTCGAAACGCCATTCAAGATCTCTGGCCTCAGCGCCAACCCATATCTTTTCACAACCATAAAGGTGGTCATCCTGTCGGCCCTCTCGGGCGTGCTTAGCGAGGTTTTGGGCTTCAAGCTGAAGCTGCACAAGATCAAGATCAAGTGAATCATGCAGGGCGCAGATCCATCATATTTTTGTAGTACAACTTTTTCGAAACGCTTTAAGAGAAATCTACAACTACACCTAACTCTAAATTAGCTAAGTGAATAAATTTAAGCGAGCCAATGTTTAAGCTTGTCAAGTGATTGTTTAGCAGCGTTAACAAGCCCACTACTGACTACGTAAATCAATATAAATTAGTATTTACCACCTACCTTCTAGAGCGACCTGCACAATCACAAATCATGTTAAATCGAATTGTGTAATGTAATGAATCGTATTAAAGTTCATAGAACTTTTAGCATAAACCAATGCACCTTTCGTAGTTGGCTGTTTATTCTGTTACACAGTCTCGAGTTCAATTCCTAAAGCGGTCTCAGCTAGAGTGTTGCAATTAATAAATGTTAGCAATCCATATTAATAATGTTGTTTTAATTTATGACCTTGGATTGCCTAATCTTTTAGAGTTTTTATGGTTCTTTTTAAAGATTTTAAATTTACATATGATTCAAATCATATCAAAAGTTTCAAATCATTTTTAAAGTTTTTTTTTAGATACATAATATGTATAAATACAGTTTTTCTTGTTACTTAAGTGCACTTCTCTTTGAAAGCCACAAAAATAATTCAATAGATTTTCTTGTTATTTAAGGCGTATAAATAAATATACCCCCGCTTTCGATAGATATATTTTGAAATAGATTCTTAACAAAATTAAATTAAAAATAAAAACCAAAGCTCTTACAATTTTTTTCGGTGCAGCAGTTTCTTTTCGTAATCGATAGTTGCTTATATCGCGATCGACCAGCTGTTGCTGTGTATGTTATCGTTATCAGCCCACCTGCCCAAAACTGACGTAACATTCGCGTTCTTTCGCGTGGTAAATCCTGCTTTTAACTCCCATAAAAACCCTCCCCCACAAAATGATCCGGCTAAATGGGCTGTTAAGAAGCTCCTCGAAGTTGCTGAGCAGCCAGGTGCGATTGCTCCACGTGGGGGAGGCTAATATCCTACCCAGCGAGGTGGACAAGCAGTCCGCCGAGTTCAAGGTATGCACATATAAACACTCGGTTATCAACGTACGCACATCTTCTGATGTCTAAGTTTTCGCCCAGGAAAATGCCAGCGAGATGGGCAGGTTGGTCGGAGAACTGCGTAACTTTACCAGCCAGGTGCTGAAGGGCGGCGGGCAGAAGGCCATCGAGCGACACACCTCGCGAGGCAAACTCTTGGCCAGGGACCGCATCAACCTGCTTTTGGACAAGGGATCACCCTTCCTGGAACTCAGTGCTCTGGCTGGCCACGAGCTGTACGGCGAGGAGGTGGTCAACTCCGGAGGAATCGTGACTGGAGTGGGTCGCGTTTGTGGGTAGGTTACACTAAATTAGAGAGCCCTTACCATTAAGACAGGATTCCTTTAGGGCTCATACACATAAATGTGATCTCTCCACTGAAATCAACAGGTTTTCATTCATATAGTTATTAATGCAATTCTCATTTCAGTACGGAGTGCCTGGTGGTGGCCAACGACGCCACGGTAAAGGGCGGCAGCTACTATCCCATTACCGTGAAGAAGCATCTGCGCGCCCAGGAGATCGCGCAAGAAAACCGCCTGCCCTGTATTTACCTCGTGGATTCGGGAGGCGCCAACCTGCCGCGCCAGGCCGATGTCTTCCCAGATAAACTTCACTTCGGACGCATTTTCTACAACCAGGCGAACATGTCGGCCCAGGGAATTCCTCAAATCGCCGTTGTGATGGGAAGCTGCACAGCCGGAGGAGCCTACGTCCCGGCAATGGCCGACGAGAGCATCATTGTGAAGAAGCAGGGAACCATTTTCCTAGCTGGTCCACCACTGGTGAAGGCAGCCACTGGAGAGGAGGTGTCCGCAGAAGATTTGGGAGGGGCCGACCTCCACTGCAAGACCTCGGGAGTCACCGACCACTATGCCGTAGACGACGAGCACGCCTTGTACCTAGCCCGGCAGATTGTGAGCAACCTAAACTTACCCGCCACGAATGCCTACAACGATCAGCTGACGCACTCCAGTCAAGCCAACTTCCAAGGGGCTACTCCGCCAGCCGCCGTAGAGGAGCCACGCTACGATCCTCGTGAGCTGTACGGCATCGTGGGCCCCAATCTTACCAAGAGTTTCGACGTACGCGAGGTAATTGCCCGCATCGTGGACGGAAGCCGCTTCACGGAGTTCAAGAAATTATATGGCGAGACTTTGGTGTGCGGATTTGCAAAGCTCTATGGCCATACGGTGGGAATAGTGGGAAACAATGGAGTACTCTTCTCGGAGAGCGCCCTCAAGGGCGCCCACTTCATTCAATTATGTGCACAGCGCAAGATTCCACTAGTGTTCTTGCAGAACATAACCGGTGAGTTGGTATTGAGATTATTATTATTATTATGAAATATTCTGAACCTTTCGATTTAGGTTTCATGGTGGGACGTGATGCTGAGGCCAATGGTATTGCCAAGAACGGAGCGAAGATGGTAACGGCCGTGGCCTGCGCTAATGTGCCCAAGTTCACGGTGATTATCGGTGGATCCTACGGAGCAGGCAACTACGGCATGTGCGGACGGGCCTACTCGCCTCGGTTCCTCTATATGTGGCCAAACTCCCGTATCTCTGTGATGGGCGGCACTCAGGCGGCCAATGTCATGGCTCAGATTACCCAGGATCAGCGCAAGCGTGCTGGTAAGGAGTTCAGCGAGGAGGAGGCCCAGAAACTGAAGGCTCCCATTGTGGAAATGTTCGAGGCGGAGGGCTCTCCTTACTATAGTACGGCACGCCTGTGGGACGACGGCATTATCGATCCGGCCAACACGCGCCAGGTCCTGGGCCTCAGTCTTAAGGCAGCGCTCAATAATGCCGGCCAGAACACCAAGTTTGGAGTCTTCCGCATGTAAATCTAATTTGCATGCCCACGAATGGAACTCTGGGTGCATTTAAAGGCATCTAATGCCAGCCTTATTTCGAAACTGTTGCATTTATTAGCGTTAAGTCAATTGTTAATCGTGTCATTTACCACTGAGTATCTATTTAAAAATCAAATAATGAAGAGGATCAAGGAGTGACCGTATGTGTTGAAAAGTCGCAATTATCAAACTTTTCACTTACCTTAACCTTTATTGGTTCACTGTCAAAATTGAAGTTAACTTTTTCGTGCAATAGATTGATAGTGAAATATTTTTCGGCAGTCAATACATACGGAAGCACAAAAAATGTAAAAATAATGATGATTTTAAAAAATGAATAACGAAACTGTTGCATTTATTAGTTTTAAGAATTGTAACTTGAGTAAATTTTTGTTGAATACAGCAATGTTTTAATGTAATAAGATTCTATAAGTATAGATTATTCGATGGGCAATAGGGAACATGGGCATTTGACTGTGGATATTTATAACTCGAAAGAGATTCTGTACGTCTCTAAAATAGTTTCTCGGTTTTTCAAAATCTTTAACTTAAGTGCTAATTAAACAAAAAATATATATGAACCGCGAAATACCCAAAAATGAAATAAATAAATAATATATTGCTTTTGCAAGCTGAAGTTTCCTTAAAGGTTTCAAAAATAACGGTCGAAATGGCTGGAGGCTCCACCGCGCACTATCGCCCATCTCTAGCGCCTATCGATAGCCCTCCATGCGGACCTGCGCTGGGCGGTCGATGCATCAGTGTACATTTTACATCCCTAGCGCTCGCTCGTTTTGCCAGAAGACGGTTCGTCATAAAATTAGCATTTCTTTGTTTAAAGTCCAGGAATCATTTAAAAAGGCCTCGCCAGAAGGACAACGACCAACTGAGAAGGTGAGTTTATCAAAGGATCGGAGGATCCACCGGTTGAGTGCTCCACTGCGTCCGTATGACTCAGTGAATGCCTCTCTGTGCCGAGTGCCTGCGTGTCTGTGTGTGTGTGTGCGGCTCCTCGACTTTTTCGCGAAAAAAGAAAGAAGAGAGAAGAAATGGCAAAATCTAGAAGTAGCGTCAGCAGAAAAGAAAGTTCATCGGTATGTGGCGATTTAAAATAACTTTGCCGAAAACTTCAAGTGCACACTTGGGCGAAATAGCTGTACATTGCGGAGCATCCGTGCGCCTGTGTGCGTGCCTGCGTGTCCGTGTGCGTTGTATATTTAAATGTCGCCTGCTGCTGTTTCGTTTCCTCCTCCAAAAATAAAAATTCCCTATCCTGGTTGTGCGCCAGTGTGAGTGACTGTCATCTTGGCGTGCCAGTGTGTGTGTGTGAGAGTGTCTGCTTGCCACAGCCGCAAAAAAACGGAAAAAAAGAGGCCGCAAAAATTCCGGTGCAGTGTTTAATGGCTTATGTGCCCCAGCCCCAACCCTCGAGATGGCCTGAACGTCTGGAAAAGCGGGGAAACCATATTTTCTTCGGCTCTTTCTGGTTTTGAGCCACCATTTCGATGACGTCACTCGCCTATCGTTTATCTGTCAAACCCCCGCATTTCACAGTGTGCCTGTGTGTTAGTGTGCGTCTGTCCAGTTACCAACAGTTCTCGGACTTGTTTTTGTTTTCCTTTAGCTAGAGTTACTATATTTCTTGGCTTAATTGAATTCGGCTACGCCGACGCAGCTTTCTGGCCTTTTTGCTGTTTTGTTTTTGTTCCATTAGCTTGCCGGTTTCTTTTCGGTTTCCCCACTCACAAAACTCTCAACTCACACCCATCAAATCAAGCGGATTTGGCTCATAATATCGGAATGTTTATTTGTTGCTCAAACAGCTTATTGCTGTTGACACACTTTCTCACACATTTGGGAATTTAGAAATATGGCTGGGATACGAAAGACTTTTCAACGGTGCAGGGGTTTAGAAGTGGAAGGCCCCGTTTTGGGGCACTAATCCCCCGATTTCGCTGCTCTTTTCTGTTTTCCTGGTTCTGCTTAATTAGTTCGCATTCAACTTCCGCTGCACGCGCCCACACTCGCACACATGCACACTTACTTATCGACGGCCACAACAAACTACTGCACTGGAAAAAATATCATTAGGAAATTTCATTTTGTATTTGACACACTTCAGTGACTTACCAACTTTGAATTCGGAAATCATGTTGGTCATTAGGACACTCCAAAAAAGCTTTCCATTTATTTCATTTTATAACATTTGGTTCAGGAAATGGAAATTAAAGTACTTAAAAAGCAAAAATATCATTAGGAAATTCCATTTTGAATTTGACACCCTTCAGTGACTTACCAACTTGGAATTCGGTAATCATGTTGGTCATTAGGACTCGCCAAAATAGCTTTCCATTCATTTATCCTACTGTAACATTTGGTTCAGGAAAGGCAAATTTAAGTACATAAAAAGCAAAAAATATCATTATGAATTACCATTTTGGATTTGACACACTTCAGTGACTTACCAACTTGAAATTCGGTAATCATATTGGTCATTAGGACTCTCCAAAAAAGCTTTCCATTCATTTCTCAACATTAGGATAACATTTGGTTGAGGAAAGGGAAATCAAAGAGCTTAAAAAGCAATTTATTCGGCTGACAGGGCTTTAAAAAAAGACTCAAATCGAAAACCCATGGAACATAAACCACAGCTGCTTCAAAACTTTCTGTTTCCTGTATACCCTTACATAAAAAACAACATTAAACATTTTTATTTGATCAAATCTGTTGGGAATACATTACATGTTACGTTAATTAGTGCTATCGAACATGGTTTCAGCTTGTATTTTTCTTTTAAGCAAATCCAATATCAGAGTTATAAACATGTTTGCTTAGAGTTGTGCACTGAATCATAAAACTAATCATATTTACTCATTGGAAAATGACGAACACGCCAGTTTTATAAGGCCAGAGATAAATATAAAAAATGATGTAGTGGTAAACAGAGCCAATAAGCGAATGGAATTCGTAATTTCTTGGGTTATTTTTGTGAACTCACTAGGCAGAAGTCATTGTTTTACATATGGATATTATCTTAGTTCGGACTGAATTTTGCCCTGTGTAAGAATACCCACTCGTTGTATTTGGGGCATGGCTATTGTTGTGCCTTCTCCGGCGGGGGGGCACTTAAATCAATAAACTAGCAGCAAATCGCTCCGCATTTGAATTGGAGTTCCGCCCTTTCGGGTCAATGCACCCGTACACTCGCACAGCCAAAAGGTGGCGAGGCGGAATTTTACGGAAACTCTGAAAGGCACATGGCCGAAGTGAGTCGGTGTATTTATAGGCTGGCCTGGCTCCCAAATGCCGGCTAGTTCTTTATCTCGCTGGCCCACGTTCGCATTGCCCATGTTCTATCAGCCTGTTCCTGCTGGCCAGGCTGACATTGATAATGCCAATGACGCGGTCCATGAGCAATCTTCATCTTCTTCGAGAAAGGAGCGACGATGGCAGCGAAGCGGATCGTTGACGACGCATCGCGGCAGCGAACAGTCCAAGTTCATTGTTCGCCAGTTCCAGTATCCGCGGACCGATTTCTTTCCACTCGCCTACCATTTCGTTTGATTGCCGTTTATGCTCTCGTAAGTACTCAAGATGGGTCTCAAGAAGCACTATCTCTGAAAGTTCAGAAGAGTATCCGCAGTGGCATATCTACTTATCTCTATTGCGAAGTTTCTAAAATCAATGTGGCAGCAAGTGCATTTATTTTTAGTGGATACTTAAGTAAAATGGAAGCACATAGGGATTTTATAGGTTTTTAAGGGAAGGGTTTTTTTGTTTCAAAAGTACACGTATTATTTAAGAAGTGCGAAGATATACTATTCTCGTAAAAAACTATTTAACGGGCGAAGAAATCTTTTCCGATTCTATTAGTTACCAGATCAGTCTTGAAATAAGCCAAGGTAACTATAATGAAGCATTTTTTACATAACAAAGAATCTAAATATTTTGGATGAGCTAAAATTATGCAAGCTAAGTTTTAAGTAGCCTTATTAATTTTATTCCATAAATAGAAGCTGTTGAGATACATATAAGGCAAGAAGCAGGCCTTGATAATGTTGCTATTCAGTTAATATCCATCTCAGCGTCACAACAGTTGGTATTGATATAGTCAGTAGATCGTAGACGTGTATACGAACGGAACATAAGGAAAACAAAAGTAACTTTAAAAGTTTCTTTATAAATCGGCAAATTCAGTTTTTGCAAAGCGAGGATAGGCAGAGGGGAGTTCTTAGGAGCATACCGCATACAAAATACTGGTAAGTGCATCGGCAATGGTTGTTCTTTGACAGATTGCTATTCCTATTCCGGGAAGTAAGATAATTTGTTTTTGGCCTGGAAAGGCCTTTCGTGCCGCTTTCAGTCGAGAGTCAAACAATCGAACTCCGCTGCGATAGGCCAACTCGCCAAACTACTTTCGAGGAACAAATTCTGCAGATTCGTGGAGTGAGTGTGCAACGGTAACATGTCCAATAACAATCATTTGGCGTTCCCGGCTGCCGTCTGTTTTTTGCAGATGATTATCGTGATCTTGATATTGAGCACGCACATGGGACACGCTTCAATGCACCCCAAGCCAAAACAATTATTAGCTGCCGCAATTAAGAGCCGTTCATGGCAGTATCACTCCCACACGGGATCGTATGTAGAGCTATCGGCAGAGCATTAACCAGTCTTTTGTGTCTTCGTTTCAGAGCCGCTCAAGAAACCAGAGGACACCACCAACATGGCTGTTAACGTTTACTCCACAAATGTGACGTCAGAGAATCTCTCGCGCCACGATATGCTGGCCTGGGTCAACGATTGTCTCCAGTCGCAGTTCTCAAAAATCGAGGAGCTCTGCACAGGTAAGGGTGCTTAATTTCAATTATGAAGTGATTACTGAGATCGACCTACGCTTCACTTCTAGGTGCCGCTTACTGCCAGTTCATGGACATGCTGTTCCCCAATTCAGTGCCCGTAAAGCGTGTCAAATTCCGTACAAATCTGGAGCACGAGTACATACAGAACTTCAAGATTTTGCAGGCGGGCTTCAAAAAGATGTCTGTGGATAAGGTAATGCTCGCTCACTTGGAGCGGTTTTGTATATCTCTAGATTTTCTTTTTGTTTAAACACACACAAACCCAACCAATCCCGAGAATGTAGAGTGGACATGGGCACGGTACAGTGGAGGCGCTTGAAGCGAACAGTTTTCGCTTTGAGGAGCTGTCTACTGTACCAATCAACTCTTGTATGTTGTAACTAACTACGATTTCCGTTACAAATCAACCACACGACCACGCGAACAACGACGTCCGTAGATCATACCAGTTGATAAACTGATTAAGGGACGTTTCCAAGACAACTTCGAGTTCCTCCAGTGGTTTAAGAAGTTCTTCGATGCCAATTATGATGGTCGCGAGTACGATCCGTTGGCCCAGCGGGGCGGGGTCAAGATGGGCAATGGCAACGGACACGGCAGCAACGGAGGCAGTGGCGTGGGCAGCAGCAACAACGATCTCCACCTGATGCATCGTCGGCCCCTGCAGGCGCCAGCCGCAACCCTACGCAATCCCCCACGGGTCATCGCTCAGAATGGTACGGTTATTGCAGTGGACAAACTCCGGTGTTGGGAGCGCGCCCTACGCTTGCCATTTCATTATGAATTGCGAGGCGAACGAACGTGAAGCACGCAGCGCGACCAGGCCCAACTGGGATGCCACACAACACCACACAAAACTCCACTCACCGCACTGGTCTTCAGCAGCAGGAGCACCAAATACTACCCCAACAAGCACACACATGTCGCATTCCAGCACAAAGCACCCAAGTCGGAGGATCTGTTGTTGTCCCACATTTAAAACCACTAACTCCTCTTCATTCCCTTGTACAGTGATGGGATTTATGTAGATTGTTTGGGAGTTATTTCACCTTGGCTTAGTTGTTTAGTCTTTAGAGGATATCTTACCTTTAAGCGTTATTTTTATTTTGGATGTAGATACGTTTTTTTTTTACTTAAGGTTCTGTTGTTGGGCTCTGTTCTATTACTGGGGTTAATACACCTTCAAATTTGTAACTATATTCACGACATGTGCTGAGGTCCCATCTAATTGTTTATCAAATGCTGCATATACCATTCTGTTACTTATTTTTGCTGCTAGGGTACTATAAACTTTGCAAACTTTCGTTTATATTATTTTCCTGATCATATGTGAATTCCTTTTTATTTCTCTACTTAGCTTTAAAACATACTAACAATATGTGAATATATAATGAAAGCTCAGATCGTGTGATTACCTTGGTTAACTATATATTTCGATAACCCTTCCCATCACTGATCTTCCTATTGCAAAATTATAATTTAATGTACATTCGTAAGATAGGTTCTGGTGCTTTGGCTTGCCAAAGAGCTCTGATCCCTTAAAATCCATACTGTGTGTATCCTTATTTTGTTCCCATTGCATTTGGTTTCACCACACGCTCTCTCACCTGTCTGCATATTTCTCGCCCATCTTACTTTTAGATAATACCCATTGATAAATTGATCAAGGGTCGGTTCCAAGACAATTTCGAGTTTTTGCAATGGTTCAAAAAGTTCTTCGATGCCAATTACGATGGCAGGGACTACGATGCCAGCGCGGTGCGCGAGGGCGCCCCCATGGGCTTCGGCTCGGGAGCGGGGAAGAGCCTGCCCGGCACGGCGGCCGGCGGCGTGCACAACAGCTATCGACGTGCTCCGACGGCAACGACGCGCCCGACGACGACGACCACAGTGAAGCCCAGTATGTTGTTTTGGTTTGGTTCCCTAGTTCTATCCTCCTATCGCTATCTTTCCTTTCATTATCGTTACGCACAATCCTCATGGTCAGACATATGTACATACCGCATGCCATGGTCCATATTTAAGAAACTAAACGCACATCCTACAAGTGAACACAAACATATAATACGAAGATCTAAGCTGTCTGTGCTTCACGTTTGTTGATTCCTTAATCTTTAATTTATCTGCTCGAATACTAACCTCCCCCGTTTGGTCCTTTCAAGCAGCAGTCTCCAAGGTGCTGCCACGCACGAACAACGCTGCGCCACCGAGCAGAATAACCGCCGGGGCCAACAGCACGGGCACAGTCAAGAAGAACGACGCGGGAAACTCAGTCAACAATCAGCAGATCGAAGAGATGTCAAACCAGGTGGGTGAAGAACAAGAAAATGAGCAAAAGTCAATTACTAATGTTAAGGATCAGGTCATGGATATGCGCATAAACCTGGAGGGATTGGAGAAGGAGCGCGACTTTTACTTCTCGAAGTTGCGGGACATTGAAATTCTGTAAGTAGCGAAATCGATCCAATCTCTGCTCGACACCACGCTTACCCACTTTCACTTTTATAGATGCCAAGAAGCAGATGACGGCGAGCAACATCCGCTCATTCAAAAGATAATGGACATCCTGTATGCGACTGAGGTAGGACATGTCCGTACACCTTTTAGTCCGGACTTGCAGTCATTTAGACTTATATTTCCTATTTTCAGGATGGCTTTGCGCCGCCAGACGATGCACCACCAGAGGACGAGGAGTATTAATTTAAAAGGAGAAAACAAAAAGAAAAACAACCCACTAAATTCATTTGCTGCATACATATTCAAAACATAAGTCAAGAAGCAAGATGAAGGGTACAAAAATAAAGTTTACTGATTAGACGGGAACCAAGAAGACGTTTAGCAAACGAGAAGACTTACGAATGCGTAGAGGGTTTAAGTCCCGAAGCCGAGGTTGACGACAGGAGCGCTAAGTGATTAAATCGTTATTTTTCAAACCACTTTGATTCAAACATGCTCAAACGATAGAAGACGGGAATTACTTTCATACTAAAAGATCTTTCGGTTCAAAATTGTGGTCGCGAATGTTATCCTGCGTTCTGCCGTTACCGATGAGTGTCAACACAGTCATCAACCACTTCATATTTAAATTGTTTGTAATTTAGCGGAATAAAAGAAAACTAAATCTCACTATCTAAGAAAAAGCTAACGAACACTTTTCAAAATTCTTCGTTGAACTCAAAAACTCATACTTAAGAAATTTGTTTAAAATTCTCAGTTTACCATTGTAATATGATTTAGTTCTCTGTAACATATGCTTTACACGATTAAAACCAATTTAATACATTTAAATTTTTTGTATAAGTTCAACTTTTCAGTAGCTGACTTAAATCGTTTTGAGTGTTGTATGTAGTGGATCGCATGAGCCGAATTTGTATAATCTAAAAAATATTTAACGATGAGATGTCATTCACCAAACGGTATTTTGTACTTTCAATTTCTACTTTTAAATAATTGGCTTCATAAAAAAATGATTATATAGATTAAGTGATTTTTTGCTCTCGATTCTTTTTAAGTTCTATATTTATGTGTAAAACAGGTAGAACTCGTTAAAAAGTTTGAATAAAAAGCGAACATCTTTCTATTTTCTAAACACATTTTTGGTTTTTGGCTTTACAATTCGACTTCAAACGGATGAGTTATCCTGGCCGGAAGCTTTTGTGAAATGCACCCAATCATTTACACTTCTCTGATCATTGTAAATAATTTGTTAAAGCTTGTAACACACTAACCATACACATATGATAGTCAACATCTGCTTTCGTCAGACGCAAATAAAATGTATGTTTATGTGCTCGCACACCATTAAGGAGCATTACTAGGATGTACTAATTACGTTCTATATTCTAGAATAAAAACATGTGTTGCTTGATTCAAAATTAATGCATTTCTCATTTCTCACACACGAGTATTACGACGAATCCTAAAACTATTTAACGGCAGTCTGGATGTGCGGCTGCTTGTGGGTGCCGTCGCAGAAGGGTCTGTGGGTGGTCTGTTTGCAGTTGCACAGCCAGTAGTCCCCCGACTTTTCCACCTTGAAGCGGATGGGCCTGGAAAGTATTGGATCATTTTATAACATAAGTAACCTGTTGAAAGATTACCATTCATGGGTTCATCACTTACCTTTGCTTGATCTTGAGAAACTCGTTCTTGTGCATGCCATCGCACAGGGGCTGAGATTTGGACTTGCCGCATAGGCACCAGCTGTAGGTTTTATCTGTGGGGTCGCGAGTTGTGGTTATGTAAACATGGTAAGATATCATTATTTCATGAGAAGTGTGAATCGAACCTTTGTCCAAATGGATCTTGAAGGGTCTCTTGTCGAAGATAGCACCATTTTCCTTTTGCAGAACAGCCGTTTGCTTGTCCTCGAGGAGATTCTTGGGTATTGTTTTCGCCGAATCCCCGCTCTGTGCACTGGAACTGTAGCATGCCTGGGGGTATTAGGATCTTATAACGTATATGGCTTATTATCTTTAATTATTGGTTGCTCACCTTCAGCATCCAAGGTGCTCGCAGGCTTCGCTTTAATATTATTGACATGCTGCCGCTGTTTTATTTATTTTCTTTGTTTTTCTATTGGTAGCTCTGCCGAAAGTATCGATAGGAAAACTTATGCTGTTTCATCGTTGGATCTTTATGGTCACACTACTTCCAAAGTTTATAATTAGCCTATTAAGACGTAAACTTTATAATAGGTTCCTTATAATAACTTGCTTGGTAGTTATCTAGTTACTAACGATTGGTTATAATAAAGGTTTTTAGGAAAACGGATAATTTAAATGGGGTAGTGCTGCCAGACCGACGCAAGCAGTGCTGCGAAACACTTCATCCGAAATTCATCGTATGGAATTCCAATCCTATCGATGCTCTATCTGCGTTATCGCCACCCAAGGTCGCCACTTTTAAATATGATTTCACATTTCCAGAATCTGTTTTACTGATAAGAGGAGATATGATTTGGATGCGCCTAGGAAATGTCTTTCTGCGTTCTTAGGTATTTCAGCTATTATCACAGACGTTCATCTGAATGAAAGCTCGCTACTGCCTTGGAATTCAGAGTGGCAAGCGCACACGCCAAATACTCTCAGATAACACCATTTATCAAGCGCCCCGGTTAGACAAACTGATTAGCCCGTCCGTCCAGAGATTTTCTTCGTAATATACTTTATTTTACAATACAAATACTACATAAGCGGGGGTGTCTTACAAATCTCTCAATTAAATATACAAATGACGGTGTCCCCTGAAGATCTTTAACTTAGTTAACGATTTCAAATCAACCCAAGAGTGGGTTTCGAAAAATGATATACAAATTCTAGTAACTCTGATCCAAAACCATATCAAAAACTAAGCGTTTCCGGGACACTTATGGATTTTTCGGTTGCATTCCAAAAGAATAGTACCGATACCGCCAGGGATTTCTGGGACACCCCTGATAGCGTCTAAAACTCATCGTGGAACGGATAGTACTTATGTCCGGCCATCCCAGAGAAGGGCACCGTTCGCTGCCCCGTGTGATACTTTTCCATGCCGGCGACATCCTCCGGACTCAGCTCGAAGTCGAAGACCTTGAAGTTCTCCTCGATGCGGTCCTTGTTCGAGGATTTGGGCAGTGGCACCACGCCCAGCTGGATAAGGTACCTCAGGCAGATCTGGGCCGTGGTCCGCCCATACTTCTTGGCCAACTGCTGGGAGTGCTCGTCAAAGAGGAAAGGCGGCCACTGGCGGGCGGGTTGGGGGCGTGCCAGGGGGCAGTAGGCGCAGATGACCAGGCCATGACGCTTTGCGTGCTCCCGGAGCTTGTGCTGCTGGAATCCGGGGTGGCACTCCACCTGGTTCACCACCGGGCGGATGCGGCAGTTGTCCAGCACGCGCTCCGTCTGGGCGGCATTGAAGTTGGACAGACCGATGCTGCGCGCCAGGCCCAGGTCCACCAGTTTCTCCATCTCGCGCCAGGTGTCCAGGTAGTCCACATCCGTCAGCTCCAGAGTTCCATGCACGTTGCTGTCGTTGTGGAACTTCTGGCCCACCGGCATGTGCATCAGGTAGAGGTCAACGTACTCCAGACCCAGGTTGTTCAGGCTAAGGCGGCAGGCGCGCTCCACCAGACCCGTATCGTGGTGGATCCCGCCCAACTTGGTGGTCACGAAGACCTGCTCGCGAGTCACAACACCCTCGGTGATCTTCTCGGCGATCGCTTGCCCCACCTCAGCCTCGTTCTCGTAGACGAAGGCGGTGTCCAGGTGCCGGTAACCCACGTCGAGGGCGTGGCGCGTGGAGTGGTAGGCGTCCGACTCGAAGGACCTCCAGGTGCCCAGGCCCAAGATCGGCATCTCGCGCCCATTATTCAACTGGATGGTGGGAGCCAGATTGGTCATCGTGTGGTGTGTGTAGCTGCCGCCTGATAATTAACGCTGTGCAAATTGGACGCTTCTAAATCAGTGCGATTACGGATTTTCGTGGCTCTCGGCGGGCAATCTCTATCTGTTCCAGCACGTTGAATTATTTTAAACTTATTTCTGGGAAGCTTCGCGGACAACTGTTGGCCTGCTCAGCCGGTTTCGATGATTTTGTCACGGCGCTCGAGCAGCTGCTGTGTCATCCGGTGACGTCACGGACACCGCGCGGTTATTCCCAACCAGCAAAAGCTCTCTTTGGAGAGCGGAGAGCCGGAGCTTTTTTAGCCCACCTTAATCGAAGTTCGAATGCACCTATAGAGGGGATCCCCTCGCGATGGAAAGATCTGTTGTTCATTCGAATACTCTTCAAAAATAAAATAAAAATAATCGTTTACAAACTCTGTATGCTTCAGCGGTTTCTATTTATTCCCCGAATTTGAAATGTATCAGACATATGTCGAATAACTTTTATAAAGAACCTCATGAACCATTGGGTTAAGGTTTCAAGAATCCAAGTCATCATCTTGTATGATCAATATCAAAGATAATGTTGTTTGTTCATGTTCATCGCGAATTCTTTAGGGTTGAGTTTACTAAAAGTGAAGCAGATTAACCAACAAATAAAATAAACGTTTCTTAAAGCAAAAAGGTAAATGGGGTACACTGAGTTGTGTTCCAAATGAGTTATAAACAAATGTCTACCGATCTTTAAACCTACAGGATATCTAAAAATTGGTTAAAAACACAATATATGTTGAAAATATGTATTTTTAGAATGTAATAAGACTAAATATCAACACAACACAGTTGAAAAATGCTTAAAAAAATATAATAATAGAATAGTTAAAGTTTCTTCACAGATATTAAAAAGGGATATGTAGAAGGGCGCACTCCCAATACAAAAAAAAACAAATTGCCACTCGCTAACACATAAATCTTTATTCGAATATTAGTTGAGTTCAAAATGTTAGACATTCAAAGATACATGCTGGTTTACACTTAGTTGTAACATTTAGGGTTGCCATTAAAATATTTACTCTGCTTTGCATAAATCTCACTTAGCTCTTCGCAATTTGGGTATACATGTTATTAGAATATGTAATCTGTTAGTACGGTTAAAAGATCTCTGTTTATGCTACACAATATATGCACGTCTATACCATGCTCGATGGATTTAATTACTTCTAAGTGGTTTGTTGGTGTTGTCTTCTTGCCGTGAGCTCTTGGGAGCCGTCTCTTTCATCCCGATTACGAACTATTTAGTTTTAATCTATTTTGCTATGTGGTAGGTAAGTAAATTTCAAGATTGTTTTGCGTTAGACATGTAAACACTGATTTGAACATTTAGTGGTTAGTACTAGTTACGACTCGAACATTTATTGACTGATTATGACTGATTGGCATTAGCTATATTTTGGTAACGGAGGTATATACGTATAGCATGAATATATCGGCTTGTGTGCATCCGTGAGTTACCCAATGTTGTTAAATTTATGCAAAGTGCCTAGATTATATTTGAGAAATTAAAAGTTCGTAGAGTTGTTTTGAGATTGTCAAATCGAATCACAAGTAAAATTTGAAATTTTCCCTTTTTGGAGTACTTGCATAATTAATATATTGGTATATATACAATATATAGTATGTTTATCTGTATTATTGAAGTGCACAACAATAACAACAGTGGTGGTGTATTGTTGGATTTACTTTAGCATAGCAGTACTCAAAAATATAGAAACATTCTTGGTTTTGACACATAAGGGTTTCCTCTTATCGGAAACGATTGCTTAACACTAGGATGGGTTCTATGATCTACATGCTACGTTTATTGATTAATTAGATACATATTCTATGTATAATATATTCGTCTCGTCCCATTTATGCTATGTTGGTTTATTTTATTCGAAATTTTTCCTCAAAGGATTGTTAGGTTGCGTCGGGTTTATAACGCCTACACAATTCTATGTGGATGATTGTAGTAGATTCTACCCGTAGCACATGGTGTAGATAAAGTAATTAAAGGCTTTCGAATTCTACTTACAAACTTTACCATACTAAAATTGGTGTTGCGTTCCTTGTAAATCAATATAAATTTTTACATCTCAATGACTATAAACTAAACAGTATTGTTTCGTTTGAATCGGTTCGCTATATCTATAAAAGTTTTATTGAAAATTCGTTTGCTTTTGCTTTGTATTATTTTTTTTGGAGGAGAAACCACTGGATACTTAATGTCTTGGATTGTATTTGAATATATTGTTTGTCTGATTGAAGTACGTAAAGAAAAAGATTTTTATTAATACGACAATTATATTCTACGCATCATGGTCAAAGTTTTGGTTACATCTAGGAGTGGTGTTTTTTTTTATGTGATAAATCGTTGTTTGAGAGACCTTTACTTGGGAGAGGAGTTGGGTTAGAATGGTAACTACAAGTACAGGATTATCTACGACATCTTACTAGAAAGTGCGTTTGGACCATTGGGTTTGGCATAAGGGACCTAATACCTTTACAGGACTTTTCCCTATCTTACGCCAAACCCCAGGGACCAAATCGGATTCACTAGAGGTTGACATTTGCGAAAGACAAAACGCTAAAGTCGGATGCACGACTTTTAGATACTCGCTACTCGGTGCAATTAAAATTGACTTTTATCTTATTATTTCAATGATGGATTTGTTTCTACAGACTTCAAGATCGTATACAATACAAACATACGGAGATGAAATGCTTGGTTAGTGAAAAAACGATTCATTTCTTTTCATATATTTGAACAAATTTCATATTTCCTTGTGTTCTTCGAGTACCGAGTATATAATTACATCAAATATATTACCGTTTTACATCTGTGTTCAAATATAGGTAGCTCCAAACCCCCTTCTTAGGGAAAGTTTACATTTGTTTTATTTGATGATAACGATCAATTTTTAATGATCAAAATTCATGCAAATTTAATATTCTTTGTTGACAAGATGTACAGAAGTGAATAATTTAAACATTTTAATTAGATTTGAAACTATTGTGGCTTAAATTTTGAAAGTCAATACAAAGTACTCCCCGTATTTTGAACACAATTGCAATGGTAAATGTAATTGGTATTACACGTATTTATGTACAAAACTACAACTAATAAGGTCCCTCTCCAGTGTTTAATGTTTTGTATGCATTGGCATATATGCGTATTTTATAGCTTACTTAACATAAACAAGGGCTGAAATTTCTACAAAATAAAACAAATCATGGTTGTTTAAATAAATATTAATAAATGGTTTCGTATTTTATTTGCGAGTTGCAGTACTTAGGGGTATAGAATTTCCAAACGATAGAAAAATGTGAAAATTTAAATAAAATAACTTATCCGCTACGTGGCTTACATGTTAATAACTAGCTTCAACTAGACTGTTTAATAGTTGGTTTTAGTTTAGGGTTTTTAAAAAAATAGATTCCATGCTCTTGGATACGATATACAATTTTACAAATTATTTTACTAGCTTGCGTAGGATGTATAGAGTAAAGTTTTGTAGGAAATTATGCAGTTTAGTGCTGTTTGTTTTGATGTCGCCTCCTCTAAATGTTTAGTATCACACACGTCCAAGTTTTGTTTTTATTCGTTTCGGTTTCCGCGCCGGGATTTCCGAATTTTAAATTTGTTTTCCATCTATCGTTTTGTACTAAAGCGAAAAGTTTCTCGTTTGCATTGAAATGCTTTGGGGTTTCAGTTCATTAGAAGATTGAGATAGTTCTTAGTCGGGTCATAGATACATATATGTACATATAGAGTACACTGTTGCTTAAGCTAATGCGAATGCGGATGCGGATGAAAGTTTGTCCGGGCTTTGGTGGCCATGGCGCCAATTGGCTTCCCGAGAACCACCCGGCTAAGCTCATAACTGTGCAGCTAATTGCGGTTTGATTAACACACACTCAGGGTTAGACACTTAATACAGGCTACGGCTAATCGGATAAGGGGGCCTTTCCGGCTTAGAGCTTCCTGGTGGGCTCCACCTTCTGGGACATGGCGGTGAGCACCCGCTGGTTGTCGATGACGCGGAAGCAGCTGATGTACGACCTCACCTCGCCCTCGCTCTTCGGTGAAGGTGGTTCCAGACCTATTCCAAATCCAAATCGAACTCAGTGAGAAAATAGCTTTTGTTGGGTTGGGGGAAAAGCAATCTTACCCAGACTCCTGGAGCGACAGAAGCGGATGGTGCGCATCGTCTGGGCCATCATGTGCATCTTCTCGAAGTTCACCAGGCCGTCCAGACTGGTCTTGTTGCCCTCGTGGGCAAAGGTCATGTCCTTGAGCAGCAGCGGCATGAACGGAATGAGCGGCGGTTGCAGCTTGCCCACAAACACGCGGTACGCCCTGTGGTTGCGGCTGGGGTCGATCAGGGCCTCGAACTCCTGGAAGATTTTCCTGAACTTCGATGGGATCTTCTCCCAGGTCTGCTGCAGCCGGGACACCGCCATGTTCGAGAGGCCCATTACCACGGCGAAGAAGGCGTTCAGATTCTGATACTCCTTGCAGCTGGAATGGAACGGTGTTGCTCTTAGTTGTGTTCTTAACTGGAAGGATGCCATTTTCAAATAGTTCACTTGGAACTTTATGACAACTGCTAAATTTCTATTGATTAAAATAAAAGTAAAATATTTTAAAACTTATCAAGGTATGTAGTATGCGAAACACTCGACAAATATGATGCTCAGAGTTAAAATGTATTATTGTATACATCAATACTTTAATATCAATTTAAAATTAAAATATATATTCTAAATAAATGTTAGCTAGCGTGTATATTATATATGTATGTTATAACTTATTGCAAGACAGTTTCACTATAAGTATTATTATTATTAGTATTATAAGTATTGACTACTACATTTTATTACCCTACCACCAATACCACCAGTTTTTTTAATAAAACGGGCCTGGTAATCAAGGATGAAGATGCTAGGCCTTAAAAAGGACACCTATATTATTTACTCCTTACCATATTATGAGTTAACTATTTTTAAACTTTTCAATATACATATATATACTCGACAAATGTGAAGTTTAGGGTAAAAAATGTATTGCTCTACCATTAATACTTCAACATCAATTTGAAAAATCAAAATATCTCTGCTAAATAAAGGTTAATATATTATGTATATTATAACTTATAACAAGATAGTTTCAGAAATAGGTGTTAACTGTTATTTACGAGCTCTAATTATAATTATTTACTATAAAATTGTATTACCCTATCACTAGTACCACCTGTGTTTTTAATAAAACGGGGCTGGTAATCAAGTATAAAGATGCTAGGCTTTAAAAAGGTCACCTATATTACTTACTCCTAACCATATCAATGAGTTTAAGGATTAAGGTATTCTCTTGGATTACTTACTAGGCGGCCAGCTTGATGAATTTCCGGACCAGGCCCACGCGTTTGCTCAAGCTGGGCGTGCTCACCAGTTCGGTGACAATCCAGTACTGAACTTCGTTGAATCGTCGCAGGAAGACATCCAAGTTGGCAGTGATCTGTGGGCGGGAATGGGGAAATCGATCTATGTGAGCCACAACGTGCCAGCCAAAAGTTTAGCCCAATAGTTTCGGGGCGTCTTAAATTACTTTAAGTGGCAAAACTCGGGGCTAACTTAATTTGCAAGCAGATGACAAATGGCAACAGTTTTGCGGTCAGTGTCTGGCAGGCTAATTAGCCAAACGAGACTTTTGAGACTTTTTGGCTAAAGTTGGCCTTCTTACCTTGCCAAAGTGATGCCGCCCGAAGGTGTGGTAAAGCAATTCGTATTCATGAACGGCCCAGAAGAGGTCCCACTCGAACAGGGTGATGTGGTAGGCCAGCTCCTTGGTGCTCAGTATCTCCAGGTCGATGTCCACGCCCTCGGTGGGTCCTTCCTGCTCCTGCAGCTGGGTCTGCGGATTAAGAGAGGATAATAGAGGGTCCTGGAGAAATAGCTAAGCTGAAAATTGCTTACCAAGGCATCTAGGTGATCCTTGACGGAGACAAACAATCGCCCATTGAGCGACAGGCCCGTCGGTATGCTGACATCGTTGTCCTTGAACACGGAGCGCTCTCCGTTCGACCGGACCTCCACGAGGACGAGGTCCTCGGGACCCCGGTTCAGCTGCAGCTTGTCGGCGGCACACGCCTTGATAAGCTCCGCCGTGGTGTGCATGGGGAATCGTAGGGTGCAGTAGGTGTGGTCGGCGCAATAGACCCTGAAAATTACTAAAAAAGAATTTGAATACCATTAGAACTTTATTTAAAATTAATTACGAGCTCAGTTATATCTTAAAAGAATATATATATGTATATATTAGCCGTTAGAAAATATGTGCTTTTTGTTTATTAAAAGATAACGTATTCGCACAAAATATTATTCATGTCAGAAAAAACGTTCTTAAAATCGTTCTCTCGATCTCAAAGTTAGCCAAAATCCATTCGATCTCTAATTCCTAAAATCGAGATGAAGTGTTCGGAACTACATTCTTCTTGAAATTTAAAATCGAGAATACTTTTGTCTCGAGAAACAAAACCAAGACTACTTTCATCTCGAAAAACTAAATCAATACTATTTTCGTGTAGAAAAGGAAATTCTAGAGTAACATACTTTCATCTTAAAAAATAATTTCAAGAGAAATTTCGCTTGTATTTCAAGAACGTTTCTTCTCGAACAAGTGAGAAGACTCATTCTCAAATAAAGAACATGGGATATAACTTGTTTCCGTTATCATTTTCTGTGTGACTTCTAAGCTCATTCAAACTTAGCTTCATAGTTTGGTTGAAGATATTCAGGCCTCTTTTAAGTATGAGATATTTTATATAAGTGCTGGAAAACTAGAAGGACACTTACTGTCATCGTCAGGCCGAATAACCGTCTTCGATGGCGTCGCATTGCCGCTGAAGAGGCAGATGGGCTGGCCGTTGGGCGGCAGCTTCCACTTCTGGCCGGCGTTCTGGTTGCGGTCCTCCTGGTAGCGAGCCATCTGGGTGAGCACGTTGTGCACTATGCTGGTCTCCTCGTTCAGGTCGGGATCGGCCTCCACCTCGGCGGCGAGGTCCTCGATGAAGTCGCAGACGCTGGGCTCCTCGAAGGCGGCGTGGCGCACGGCCATGACCCACTTCTGCATGAACTGGATCACGCGCTTCTTGAAGTTGATTATATACTCACGATCCTCGGGGGTCTGGGCATCCTCATGGGCATCACAATGGAAGGTGCACAGCGGTTAAGGGGGAAACCAATTTCGTTTGGGATTGCGAATCGGATTTAGCAAGGGATTTTCTGGGTCCTGCATATCTGTCCGGCGGAACTTTTCCCACACTACCTAACCGGGTCATCCAGTCCCAAAGCGGCTTTTCCGTCCTGGGGAATCTGGTTATTGATTTCTGTCCCGCATTCTGCCTAACCTTGTTGCCTGGTCCTGCCTGCTTATTAAACTCATCACGTATTTCGATGCAGATTGTGAGATTAGTTTCAGGCATCATTGACCAGAGCTTCCTATCTTTCCCCCATCTACATCCACCTTCTAACCCCTAATTCATAGGCATTCTGAAAATGCTGACCCAAGTCATCATTGTGGCTTTTGTTTCGACTGAAGTTGGACTGTTCTCCCTGCGTCGAAACGGAAGTGTTGCTGGTTAGTATTTTCTGCTACACTCGAGGCAAAAAAGCCACCCAAATGTTCCGCACCCACACCCAAACCCACTGGACGGGATCAGGGTCATGTGTTGAGGCTTGCGTGCTGCCGGCACTTAAACTGTCGCTGTGGAAATGTTTCGTATACCCAGCCAGGGGAACGTGACTCGGACGCGAGTTGTTCTAGTATAAGAGCGGCCTTTTTTTGGAATTTAAAAGTGCAGCCTGACCGTGGAGAACCCAGCTAAACGGACCTTGGAAACGCTAGAAGTACTACGCTACAAGAGGATTTAAAGTGGTCAAAGGCCAGGATTAAGCGTTGCTACGTGGTCGGCATAGCAAGGGTCTGACATAAATGCTTTCGAAATTTTTCGGTGATTTTTGTGTTGTTTAAAAAGGATATTAATTGGCCAATTCATCAACCAGCTGCACGACGGGCATGAATACAATGTGCGTCAGCAGGAAGTCGTCCAGAAAGGGGTCCATTCCGCCCACCGACTGGCCCAGTCGCGTCTCCAGCAGGTGCTCCAGCATCTTGGCCGGAGTGCCCGACATCACCGTGTATCTGGAAAATATATAATATATATTTAAAAAAAAATAATTTTTTCATAGAACACAAGTTCTAAGCTTCTATAACCAAATTTAGAAATATACTAAACATACTTTATAAAAAATATTCAGTAAAAAAGTCTTGTTAAAAAATATATTTACAGTCAAACTCCCATAAGTCGAACCTTCTTCTGCAAGTAACTAATTCGAGTTACCTTTTTAAGATTTTGATACGACTATCAAATATTTATTATGGTTAAAGCAACCACCCTTTGCTTAATCAGGAAAGTATCAAGTTAAGAACTCGAAGCAATTACTACTGTAAGTATGTTACCATTCAGCTAAACTATTTGTATAAAAGCAAATACATTTGTATCTTGGCAAAACTCAACTAATTGAAGTCAAAATATGCGCGAAAGTACATAGGACTTATGGTTGCTTAGCAGTAAGCTATGGAATTGTGAAGCTATTTTAAACATGTTCGTTTTTTTGTTTTGATTTTTTATTTTTGTTTATTTTGTTTGGAATAAAGATTGTTAGAATTCTTTATTATTCTTTGCTGTATTGTGTATACTTAGATAGATTTAAAATCGTTGCAAAAACCAAACATTTCTTTAAACGATTTCTTAATAAGCCAAACATTTAAGAAGACACTTATTTTACAATGGTAGTACGTACTACGTATGACATTGTTTCTTTGTCTCATTTTCTTAACTGAAAGCGAGAGATTGGCTATTAAAGTCGCCATTCTATCACGGCGGAGAGTGACCGTAAAAAGCTAAACACACTCGACCCATCAAATCAAACCCCGGTCCGGACTTTCAATTAAATTTGAAGGCACATTAAAAATTGATTAGACACTCACTTAAATGCCGAATGCTGTCCACGTTGCTTGGCCACGCGCTCGAGCACTAAAACATCCTTGCCGTGCTCCTGCAATCTCAGGGTATTGGCCTCCACATCGCGGAGTATCCGGTTGAAGTGCTCCTTGTCCACGCGCAGCAAGTGGCAATTGTTCTCCTTGAGTACGATGGTAGCAGCTCTGTGGGTCGAATGTGAAACTCGTTAGTTTTCCCTTTAAATTCATGGCCATTTTTATGGGTGTGTTTAATTGAATATTCCCAGGGCCAAAATATTACCCTATGAGTTGAAAAACCCATAAATAGCTATAAATATGGAAAATGGCAGGCTCTGCAGAGGTGGGAAATATTTTAAATTGGATTTCAGCTGCAGCCACCAAAGCTGCATCTGCAGTTGGCAAATACACTCAATCGATATGCGGAATTATTAACCAGACTGCTGATATGAGAGCACGATTCACGGCAGCGCGATTTATTATATTTGTGGAAGGCAAACAGGCTCTTTGACCATTTTAATTAACCAAAAAGCTGGATGGAAGCTTAAACTCGTTATCCTTTCAACCGAGGTATTAAAAACGGAAATGCAGGCATATAAATTGACAAACCTACAGATAGAATAAAGGTATATATATGGAAACATATTCCCTGTTCGTAGAAGTTGAGTATTTAACCGTGTTCTAACTAACAATGAAAACGAATTCCATTCTTTGGCAACTCTTTGATAGTGCCCTTCCTTTGCCATCCGCTCAAGCGACAGCTTAGGAAATGGCTTACAAATTGGACGTGGGCCTTGGCTAATATTTTGTTTCAATTTTCAATTGTTTGCCTTAAAATGGCACACAATGCCGCTCGTTATCTGTCGCTGTTGTGGAGCTTGTTGCCGGTTATCTCATCCGTTGCACTTGTTCGGGCCATTGTGGCTATTTGGCCATTGTCGAGGTACCGTTGAGCTGTCAACCCAGACACAACCCACCCAGAAAGAGGGAGCTTCAGAAGATCTGAGGTCCAAAAAAGCTATCTCAAAACTTTCAATCGCATTAGATAGCCCTGTCACTTAAGAACTCCTCAATCGAACCAATTCAATTGGCAATGACACTGTTAACTGGCTCATCATCACTCACCTGGGTGCGTCGTTTATCAAGGCCAGCTTCCCGAAATCATCCCCAGTCTTCAGTGTGGCAACAGTTCCCTTGCCGTGTATCACAACATCCACAGATCCCTTGAGCAGGATGTACCAGGAGCGTCCTTCGTCGCCTTGATTGAATACTGTTGTTTTTTATGGTCATAATGGGTTAAGCGTGTTAAGGAATAAAAGTCGTTATTAGTACTGATAGCCCAAATGGCTGACCCGTTGATTGAGCCATAATTAGCTGGGGTTTAATTAAAAAGTTCCCAAACTTTTCGTTATTATCCCCCGCTCTCTTTGAAAATCACATCTCCGCCATTTGGGAAGTTATGAACTCTGCAGCCGGATACTCACATATTGTACCCGCCTGGGCATGAGCCTCGAATACGAAAATCGACGACAGCTCCCTCTTAATGCTGGTCGACAAGTGGGAGAGTGCGGCTATGTGGACCAGTTCCTCAAAGACCAGCTCCAGCTCCTCCGATGTCCGTTCGTGCGAACTGTTGATAAACGAATATCGAATTTAGAGATTTAAAAAAAACATGTGAACATGTTAGAGGAAATCCATTAACCGTCTCAAGGCATCCAAGCTGTGACACTTAATTCTTCGTTCTTCAGCTTGAAAGTCAAACAACTAAAAAATAAACTAAAACGCATCTTATATCATATCAAATATAACGCATAGAATAATAAAGAAATTACATTTAAGTTGTCTTCATTAAAATTATAAATTTAATTTGAATGGCATATTAATATGTATTACTTGTAGCCTAAGGAATCTTATGATGGTGCTCATAACTTGGAGCACAATATGAGAATATTTAATGAGAAACCTTATGAGTGTTTCATTTATTACTCAAGAAACTATAAAAAAATACTTGATGATGAGATTTTTAATGTGCATACTAGAACCCATAAGAATTTTTGTTGATTATAAATAGATCTGATTGTCTATATAACAAATTTATCTTTTTTCTATGGCTATAGAATTAATTTAAGCCAGCATATGTAAAAAATAGATCTGCCCAAAAACACTTAAATTCCTATTCAAATGAAATAACCTGTAGATAAAAACTGTCACTCCTTCCAGCAAATATAAAAATAACCCTATATTCTGAAGTATGATCCTCAAGGTTTCTAAGATGGTTGTAAGATAGATAGACCCAACCAGTACTTACGGTTTGCGCAATATCATACGCAGTGTGGCATCCGGACCGCGCTGGAACAGGGCGCTCAGCGCCTCGCGGATGTGTTCGTTGGCCGCTCCGAGATCCTCCGCCTGGGGCACGCCCGCTGCCGCCGTTCCGCCCTCCTCGTCGATGCGAAAGCGGTACAGAAAGCACTTGTCCTTGAAGGGCTGCTCCTTATTTACTGAGGATTTGGGAGCCATTGGAGCGTTAAAGGATCGAATGGTTGAATGAGGTGACATACCGTGTGCGAGAACTCCTTCCTCGACGAGAGCCTGCCACATGCCCGCCGCCTGGGCGCGGGTGTGGACGATGGGCGAGAGGTTGACCAGCCAGTCGACGAGCTCGGTGCCGGGGGCGCACTTGCGGATAAGCTTGCCAGAGACCTGGAAATAGAATAGAATAATATAAAGACCCCAGGATAATTTGCATCACAAAGCAGTTGACCCCACATATCCCGAACTACCCAACTCACCTTGCGATCCTTCAAACAACTGGAGTTGTCGGCGACGAGTAGAGTTCTTAGGGCCCAGCCCATGCGGTTCATAGCAGGACTCGGCGTCTGTGAATTTCAAATTTCTTTAATTTCCACACCCCAAGGTCCAGGCCTTTCGGCCCAAATGTCAGAACCAGAACCAGAGGAAGTGTCCCGCCCTCATGAATAACACATAAATATTTCTAATTCCCCTGACATCTTCTGGAGCAGCAAATTAACTCATTTGTCGTCGTCAATGTCAGGACATAACATATATAATATTTATGTGTGCTCCAAGGTGGCTTCTCTGGTGTTTCTATATAAATACAATGTATTACCTCGGTAATGGGCAGCGCTGGGTTCGGATGGTCGGGACTGAGGGGTCTCTTGGTGGGCGATGTGGCCGTTGCCGATGCTTGCACACTTGGTCCAAAGCCTAAACAAGCAGCCATGGTGTTAATTAATTATAATTATAAAAGAATTATAGTTAATCCAAATGAAATGCCTAATTTAATGCGAATTTAATTTGCTAATTCAATGGGCTCAGTCAGTTCGGTTTCTGAATGATGAATGCGCTCATAAAAGTATTCAAAATGTGGCAAAACAAATATAGCTAATCATATTTACAGAGCGCAACGAGTCACGACTAAACAAAATGTATTTTCCAAAAATAATACAAAGCAAGCCATTAATCACCGACTGCACCCGATGTTAGTGACACAAACAATTATTATTGGAATTAAATGGAGCTTTGTTTACATACCGTTCTTCAATTTGCAATTGGTGAAAATGTCATTCATCAACTCCTTGTTTTTCTGCAATGGAAAGCGTAAATGTCCATTAATAGTGTGGCTTGGTTGTTTTCGCTACAGAGGATTCCAATTACGTTGCTCATTTCAAATGCCGTCGACTGCGGACGCGTCATCTGCCCACGTTCCAGGCGCCTTCGCCGCTTGACGGCGGCGGAAGTGGCGCCAGCCACTGTGGCCTTGGTGGCTCCAACAGTGGATGCCACCTGCTCCACCCCCTGCCTCTGCCCCTCCGCCTCCCCCCCGCTGTGACGTCGGTAGCGGAGCAGAAGGACGCCGGAGGAGGCCGGGTCATTGCCGGCCACAATCTGGGCGGACCAGCGCTGCTGGCCAGCTGCCATGTGGGCCAGTCTGTGGGGTCACTTCACTTTCACTTGGGACCGGAGTTCGAGCTCACAGGTAACTGCCGCCAAACGCTTCTCCGCACACTGATAGCGTCACGGAGTTGACAAACACACAAACGCCCCTGCTCGTTGTTTGCAATTACTTATCAGGAACAAGGGTTGCCGAAGCCCCTACTTTCTACATGTTTCTAACGACTTAACCCATCAAGTGCAACCGAATTCAGATATTTAAAGTACCTATTTATGTAAGTATAATTTATCCATAATTGGATTCTGAAATGTTATCTGAGCTATAAATGCTATTTGAATTATATATTATAATCTGGTTTAAATTTATATGGAATATATCAAAAGAGGTTTTTTTTATTGAAAATTGACTAATCTATGGAAACTATTGTACATACATACGAGCATAATGTACACAAAGAAAATTCTGACGTTCTCATTTGAGTTGAAAATGTTCTTAAAAATATAACGATATTTTTTTAAGTTTAATTTTGAAGTTAAATTTGCGTTATTTACATTGTAATTCATAACAAATAAACTATTGGTCCAGTCAGGAGTGTACACTTATCAAAAAGTTGATATATAAACTCAATGTAACTTTTCTTTTCTCACCATTTCGTTCTAATATTGAGAACATTGATACCAAAATGTACTTACACGGTTTTTAAGAACAAATGTTCTCAATTCAAGAAAAATTTTCTTGAATAATTCTCTCTGTGTAGTTGTATTAAATTGAGGACCTTGAATCATAATTTGGAGTAGTACAATAAATGAATCATTTATATTTATGGTACAATCTTTTTATTAAAAAAACAAACAAAATATTTGTATTATTACTCAGTAATATAAGTTAATTTAATTTTACTACTACTACTTACTAGTTATAAAGTAATTTATCAGAAAAGGTGTTCCTTCAAAAGTTTTCAATTTATTTGACAGGAAAGAGATCATGTTTCATTTAATTTACATTAAAGTTAAAGCTTATGCCCTTACTATTTATAAAGTAATTTATCAAAAATGAAGGTCCTTCAAAGTTTCCAATTTATTTGAGTGGGAAGAGATCATGTTTCATTTAATTTGCATTAAAGTTAAAGTTTCTACCTTCTGTTGGCTTCCCTTTCGATTTCCTGTACCCAGAAAGACTCATTAGCTGGAAATGGGTTAACGTCGCACCGAAGACGCTTGGCAACACTTGAGGTTCCGCCCGCCGATAAGAAGCAAACGCTGCGTTGGCGTCGACGCTAATTAAACTCGCTTTGCTTATCAAACGCACAGCTCGCCAAAATGAGTGCCACCCACTGGGTGGGTGTTGGGCGCTCAAAGGGGGTTCAAAGGGGGTTTCGAGGGGCGGGAGAGCCCCCGCCTTGAATGCCAGACACATTAATTGAACCGTGATGTTTCCAGCGACCTTTAGCATTTCGAGGAAACTTTGCTTTGCCTTTGATTGCTAAACCAACCATTACTGTATTATCAAAGCAGTTTCGCAAAATTTCTAAAATGGCTAATACCATTTTCTTGTAGCATGCACTCCAAGCGAAAATACATTATTTTCTTTAAAGGAGTATTTATATGACCAGGAAAGTTAGCCAAAGCTCACTATTCTTACTCAATTTCCTATAAAGCCCGCTTTCCTATTATACATTTAGTGGCCACTAAGTTTCTCCAAGTCTTAAACCTAATTGTTCAAAACTTTTTCAAGTCTCTCCATTGTTTTGCTAGAAGAAAATTGGTCGAAACGGCTAGAAACGGAAGTTGGCTGGCGTATCATAACAATTTTTAATGAAACTTGGCACATTGCCGCCTTTAATGGTTATATGGCCATAAACCAGTCGTTAGACGAAAACAAACAATTATCTGTAGTTGCAACTAGTTCGAAATAAATAAGAGAGCTTGGCTTAAATCAGAGTTATTTATCTCAAGGCTTTGAAAGATTTATTGTTTAAAACTATGGCAACCTTGGATCGATTCTGTCTTTTTATTTCCCTAAACATCTTATAGCCTTTGGAAAAAAACACTGGAAAGCTTTTCTTGGCAGATAACTAAGATTGTATTTTCCGTTCGATGAAATAAAGTAACAAAACCATCTGCACTGATAGAAGGATTTGCAACTTAACCAAAGGAAATGAGTGCAAAGCATCATCAACAAAGTGCAGAAGGAACTTTTGAGTAAATCCTGTGGATTTACCAAGAAATGTGTTCATTGAACAGTGCTTGCAACACAGATGAAATTTAAATTGAGCGATGCAGCAGGCAAGTTGATGACTCGAGTGAATTTGTCTCCTCGCAGGCCAAAGGCTTCGCAATCCTACGGAGACCTCTTACATATATCTCCCCGGCGGGTTCACATGTGCAACTTGTGTTTGCGCATAAATAAATAACCCCATGACCATGGACATGCAACTGTGCATGCCACGGGGCTCTCAATAGAGTCGGCAGCAATATTTATGGGTTGGATATTACGCATATTACCACATGTTGGGCAATTCCGTGGCTGCAACTAGAGTATGAAACATGCCCGAAATTAAATGCAAATATTTAGCAATCAAGTGGCATTGAATCGCATTAGGCACCCAGCCATTGGCCCCGCCAATTGAGTTATATTCGCACACTCGGCGGCAATCTGAGAATTTACCGCCAGTGCCAAGTGTAATTTCCGCCAGCGATGCAAGACTTACATTCAGATGTTCGGATTGAAACCGACTACCACATTTTTCCACTACATCCCAAAGCCAATCCATTCGAGTGGATGGCTGAACTGCTTGTCCGGAATAATTGGCAGCATTGGATGGTAAGTGGCTTCACTGGCGGCTAGTTTGGTATTCACTTTTGTGTGCCCCTGGGTTTCGTAGAAATGAGACTGGTAATTAACCCGAAATTCCCTTTCACCCGCCGCATGGGAATACCATTGCTTTCACTGGCGTTTTCAATTTGGCCCACTCGAGCAAATATTTGCGCACAAATCAAATGTTCGACTATGCTTTATATGCTATGTGGAGGGGCAAAGTGGAGTGACAAGTTCCATGAACTCAATGGCTTATATCCCTTACACTCCTTCGAATACTTTTCCTATTCCCATTCTATTTTCCCCCCGATTTTATCGCATTTACGCAGTGCCACTGGCACTGGCTGGCAAAAAATTCCCCAGTTCGCATTTTTATGGCACTGCATCCAGAGCTTCTACAGCATCCGACATCCGACATCCACTTTTACTCGACTCTCATTCTCCATTGTTGCACACTGCGTATACGTGACATGCGGTGGACCTGCTGTCGCAGCTACTTTGTTATCGCTCAGTTCGACTGGGGCTGCTATAGGTTTGGGGTAAGCCAATGTCGGTATAATGTTGCAAAATAGTATGTGCCCCAATTTGAGGTTTGCTCCGCCCACCAGCTCCTGTGCGTCCTTTCTTCGACCTCATAACAAATAAGGTAAACACACACGTCCCTCACTAATTCTACTCGGATGTACATATACCTTTTGTGGCCGCCTCCAGGGATGACTTTGGGTTTTCCCCCCGGCTGAATGGCATTGTTAGTGGGGACTCTTCGAGTTTAACACAGAGTTTTCACATTCCGTTTTGCATTCTGGCACTGGCAGAAATGCCGTAAACAAGAGGGTTCCCCACCAAATTGAAGTATTTTTCACATGCCAGTTCCTATAAATTTGAACTTGATTCAATTTGGAATTTTCTTCGCTCAGTGCACTCTTTGCCGATTGTGTGGGCCTCTCAAATATTTACATTTTGGCATATGTAAGCCATGTTGTGGTTGACTGGGGCCAAAAAGATGCTTTGCCACATTTCTGCCTTGTGGCTGGCCAAATGCAAATATAATTCCTTTTCCGGCCGAAAGCATTTTCCATTGCAATTAAACCAATCGAATCCATTTGGATAACTAGTCCGTTTGAGTGGCAAGCCTTTCCAATTAATTATCCAGTCCCCCGAGTTCTGTCATTTCATCGAAATGCGAGGAAACATGCAAGATGGGCATAAATGAAACATTGCAATGCCTACGACAGTCATTATATTCTAATGCCAATGTAATGCCATTCTCTACATAAATATGGGCGAAACAAAGAACTACTTAGCCCAGAAGAGAAATTTCGCTTAATTCCGCACTCTGCGGCTGAGCCAAAGTACTTAACACCGGAGGCCCAAATGGCTTGCCATGTGTTCGGGCTTAGGGCCAGGAACTTCATTAGGAAAAAGCTGTCCCAGCCGACGAGCTTCATTAAATGTTAATTGAAATTTTAATTAAATATTTTCGACAATGACGCAGGAATACCGCAAATAATCGAGGCCCTTGCTCCACGAATTTCTGCATATCATTTCGGCAACTCATGCACAGCAGCTGCTCATTAAAACGGAACAGAAGGCGGCAGTTGGATTGATTCCTTTGACAGGGAAGGGCGAAAATCGATTGGCGAAACTTAAACTTAAACTTGAACTCACCTCCCAAATAAGGCGGAAGTCCTGCTGCTCCACGCGCAGCAGTTCGCAGGTTGTCTTCGTCACTACGGTGCTGTCCCGCGGCAAGTCGTGCAGTACGGACTCCCCGAATGTGGCACCCACGCCCAGGTTGCACAGGGTGACTGAGCTCTGCAAGTAAACAAGGCCAGAATATCGGGTTAGACAGTGCTTAAGATGCAGTAGTGCTTTCACACCCGGTACTTCTCGGTTGCATGGGTATATTGCATTCACTTAGGGGCGATTTTAGAAATAAGTAATTTGGTTATCATAACCTATTGTAAGATTAAGCATTCCCAACCAACAGTAGCGTAGTGTTCTCAGAACAACGATTTCTTACTAGTGTTAAGAACACTCTGTTTTATAATATAACCAGGATTATACAACTTCAAACACAATGCTTAGATATTTCTCTCCTAAAGATTATAATTTGTTATTATATAATTTCAACAATTTCTGTATATTTTTAGTTTCTACTAGCTCAAAGAACCGTCTAGGGCGATAGAGAATTTATTAAACTACAACAAATGTACTACTTAGGGTTTGCTCTTCCGCTTGTTAAACTAAAAGAAGGCTTCTTCACTTACACACGATTTCTTCTTTTAAGACCTTTATAGTTAAACATACGGACGAGAAATAAGACCAAGGTATTATAGGTAAAAGTACTGCTAATCAGAATATAGTCAACTCTTGTTGTTTTTATTAAGCAAATATAAAGGACAAGACAGTTCCATATATTAGGAGCACTATTTCTTATATATAAGACATATATGTCCATTGTATCAGACCCCTAATAGATTAAAAAATATTATTTCCTGGAAAGTCTCCAGTGGTGACTCCCTTAGTCCCCATAAATACTTGTAAGCCTCAACGACGGGTATCCCTAAGTCGGTGATCTAGGACTACGACTGCGGTTCTTAGATACATATCTCTGCAGCTAAAACATTCTGACTGCTCTAGTCTTGGGCTTGTCTTTCGCTGGCGTCTTACACAATTAACGCAAATGGCCGCAATTTGCTCGTGGTGGCAGGGACAAACATTTGCTTAAAACTCGGTAATCGCTCCATTGTCGCTGTTACCGCAAAACCACCTCAGGGAAGCACTACAGGGCCCAAAAAGAAAACGGGAAATGCAGAAAAAGAGGAAATGCAGGGCTTTTTACTGTCTCCGAAGTAATAAACGCCGTCTAACCGCAACATTGCAATGACATTTTCAATTACCCGGCCGCCTTTGCATCTGCGTTCGGATTGTTTGTTTTCCCACCAGAGTTCTTGGCCCTACTTCTTCGTTACTTTGTGTTTCTTGGCCCGAGGGCCGCGCAGCCCCATTTCGAAGGTTGGGGAACTGGAACCAAAGAATACAAGACTTCGAGACTCGAAGAATCCGAGCCCTGCCGTGTAATTGGCTTAACAAGACTGGCAAGCGACCGCAGAAATTGTTAAACTCGCATTAGCCGACAGGGCCAACACACATGTTTGTACTACACAATGTGGCGGTAGTGTGCACAGTTATTACACCGCACGGAGACCATAAAATATACTTTAATTAATTCCCGCTCTGTGTAATTACAGTTGGCTGCGATGCCACCTTTTCTTTTGGCCAACTCCGAACAGTCGCAAATCTCATTCGCTTTTCCTGATGATTTATTGCGGCTTTTGTTTTTTGACAAGCGTCAAAAAGAGTCTTTCCAACGCCTCTACCCCACATTAAATTTGATTGCTTTCTAATTTATTGCTGCATTAAAAGTTGACCCACAGACACAGAAAGAGATGACTACACAAAGACAGAAAGAGACGGGGCGGGAAGTGAAAAGCGACTGAAATTTGTCCACCAGCATTTCCCTTTGGTAATTTCCTTAAGCCGGCCAGAACAGAATTGAATTTGCCGCCCAAACAATAATATTTGGAAAGCTGCACAGCTTTGTGTATTTTGTGTTTGTTAGATGGGAATGGCTACGAGTATTTGTGGGCAGTTCGCTGTGATGTAATTTAACGATTGGAACCTACAAACAAATAAATTTAACAAGTGTAAAACAATACTGTTATTTCGTGACACGTATTCATTGCAATGAATGTAACACAGCGAATAAGAATTTATTATACCAATCAAAATAGTCATATAAGGAAAAGAATCTCAAAAGGATGTGATAGTAGGGAGAGGGGATTTGTTATGTAGACTTATGCAAAACCCACGCCATGCTAAGTTGTTTACAGTTTTTCCAGGACCCCAAATTCCCATGCAAATACTTTACTCCCACATACCTATATGTACTATGTATATATATTACATATTAAGAGATACTGAAAGGAAAAAGCTGAAAAATTCACATTTTCTTTTAACTTAGATATTCATGAAAATCACCCCTGAATTTCGTATAGATTTCTAGAAAAGTCATATTGTGACATATGTACTTCCCAGAAGCAAATAAAAATGCATTGGCTTGATATTACCCCAAAAACACTATCTCTACCTTGTTTTATAAATCAGTAGCAATAAGCAAATAGCTCAGATAAAAGGCTGACTTTTGTGAGACCAGTATTTATGGTCTCGATGTTCTTCGATTGACACCCAAGCTGCTTTAAAAGCTGAAATAATAAAACGTTGCAATCGCTGTGGAACAGAATACGGTTATTGCCAACTTATATCTACGGATAGTGGGGTTTCGGTCCATATCCATAACCATTCGTAAGCACGTACATTTTTCTCGATTTCGCTTTCGCCACTGGATCTTTTACATAAATGTGGGGTTTGCAATGCAATGTTTTACCTTTGCATAATGTCGCGTTGATTGCTCCACGTTATACGTACAACTGCGACGAAATAGCATTTTCCCTCTTTGTCTCTCGCGCTCTTCCCTCTCACTCACTCCCTGCGTCACTTCAATTCAGTTTTTTTCTTTCGGATTTCGGACAGTTGTGCATATTCAAATTTGGCTGAGCGATATTTGAAAATGTAAAACAAGCCAAACAAAAAAGGCGAAAAATATGCAAACACGTTACCCGGCTTAAATGGAATTGTTGACGGTTTTGTTTGGTCTTTTTGGCCCCTCCCGCTTTTGATTGCAGGTCGTGGACGTGAGGTCAAAAGAGCGACCTGCCACTAACTAAGGTAAAAGGCAACGGCACGCACAGCCAAAAATATGGGCAAAAATATGGCCAAACATTCCGGACTCCACATGCTCCACAGCTGCCATTGATAAACGACATGGAAGCGTTTCGCGACGGATCTCAATTAGACATTCTTTTTGTGGGTTCGCAACCCCATATGGTGGGTGTGTTTTAGCTTTAGTTTCAGTTTGCACATTGGCATCCAGTTGCCACCTATTCCGAACCGACTCGAATTTTTCCAACCGCGCGGCGAAGACTCACAAAGCCAACTGAAATTGAAGTTGAAGCCAACAGACTGCGGCGGCAGCAGCTGAAAATCAACGGAAGCGGCAGAGACTCTGTTTGTTGCATGTGCACCGCCCGTTTGTGCAACTCTCTGTTGCAAGTTGCTGGAGTGTGGCCAACAGCAGCACAGAACGCCGGGTAAATTGGGGCATTCGGTGCGATGACAGCTCAATTGACCATATCTGTCCCAAATCATGAATGACATTCGCAAACTGACAGACAAATTCGTCATTGGATTTGGATGGAAAATTAGGTTTGATTTATGGATCTGATGTTGAGCATAGTTCGTAATTGCTCATAGTCTATAGCTTCACAAAAGCCCTTACCAATTCAGAATCATTATTTCCGAATAATTAAAAAAAATATTCTTTTATAAAGTAACTACTTATTAGCATGTATTTAAAAGAATATACTTATTATCCCATATCTTTCTATATTCGAATGTCTTCCAAATGAGCTTGCTTAGGGAATAGCTCTGCTTAGCCTCTGCCGGCACGCGTACAGCGTACCACAGCGGTTGGTAGCATAGATGAGCTGCCTTTTGCAAATTACTAGCACAAATGAGAAACAAAATGTCATCGTATTGTGGTTTAAATGTTTATACATACACACGGGAAAGTTAGGAACATTTATTTAACAAACTTTAGTTAACTTTGTTACCTGTTATCAAAATATATTCAACTTTAAATGAATAGTTACGAGATGGAGCAAACACGCAATGCAAATGTAGTGTTCCTAACTTTAAATTTTTGTATATTTTTGCTAGCATTATAATTATGAAAACCTTTATCATGTTAAGAGGAAAACTGGAGCAAACTTTTGGGGTGAGGGAACTTTGCGATTTCCAAGGAGAACTTTATGAAACATAAGGTTAATTCAATGATTTTTTGTGGAAATCATGGTATTTTGAAGAGAGAAATATCTCTGCATATTGATAAGTTACAACTAAGATACCAAGCAGATATTGCCAAACTGGCTGAGCAGAAAGGGCATTTAAAATTTGGGGTGCTGCCGAAAGTAATTTACTTCCCAATTTGGCTGGCATGACAGCCTTCCCTGTCGTTTGATGCATGCAATTAATCCGCAAAAGCGCTAAAGCTCCGGGCCAAGACCGTGGCCATGTCCCCATCCACATATCCACATCCATGTCGGCGAACATGCGCGTATCCGTATCCATACGTATCCATATCCATATCCACATCCATGGCGATAGCGATAGCGCTCCAGTGGCAGTGAAACCTAAGCCCGATCCCTGGCCATGCCACATGCACCTACGGCATTGTTTTTGGCCAAGTGTCCACTATCCCACGTCCATGTCGACTTTTTGTTTGGCTCGCTGCCGCGCTTGAAAAACTTTTTACGCACATATGAGCACGCTTCCGTCCGTTGCAGCTGCAATTGCTGATGCGATGTTGATGTTGCTGCTGCTGCTGCATCGGCTGATGTTGCTGCTGCTGCGTTGCAACTGGCACTCTGGCCAATTCAGTTGGGCAAACAGGGATGTGGACTTAACTTTGGGCGATGGCCATGCGAACGACTTGCTGTGATGCTGCTTGTGCTAATGGAATTTCAGATGAGATGTTGTTGCTGGTTGGGATTTGAAAGTTTCCAGCAACCTTTAAAGTTGTGGCTTTAAATAGCACCGAAATACTTTATGGTTCAGCGTTCAGGTTGAATAACCTTGACACTTTTATGCGAGTTATGCTTTATGTCGGTGGTTTCTGCACTTGTTTTTGTTCA